ACACTTTTTGGCCCAACAGATAAAACTTTATTGATATTTATAGAAAAAAAAAACTAAAAAAATTTAAAACTGAAAATGTCCTTAAACAGCTCAAAAAAAGTCAAAATATTTTCAAAATTGTACAGTGTATAGAAAATGCTAATATGAACATTCAGTGAAATTTTCATGTATCTACAGTTATTCGTTTTTGAATTACAACAAAATAAGGAAATCGCTACATGAGAAATCGAGTAAATATCCAATATTGTAAAAATTTGAATTTCAAACCCTCATAAAAATTTAATTTGACTTTCTTATAGAATTTTTTTTTTGATAAATGTAGGAAATCTTATAAGGAATCTTGTATTACATTTTCATATCTTAGATTTAAAAAGAAAATTTTTTATGAATTTTTAACTCGAAATAATTTGCAAATTTTCGTGATTTTTCCATATTTTGTTATTTTTTGAACTTTAAATGCTTAAAAAAAAAAAACTGTGACTAACGATTTTTAATATTTTTCATCTGTCTTTGAAACAATATACTAGGAGCCTTGTATTAAATTTTAAAGTATTTTTACTCAACAAATAAATTTTTATTGATATTCATAAAAAAAAAACTAATAAAATTGGAAACTGAAAATGTCCCTAAACAGTTAATTCAAATCAAAATATTTTGAAAATGTTATCGTGTATAGAAAATGCAAATATAAACAACCACTGAAAATTGCATGTATCTACGGTCATCTGTTTTAAAGTTACACCAAAAACCAAAATCGATTTTCTCGAAAACAGATTTTGAGTAAAAATTCCCGTTTTTCCTTAATTTTTCTTTTGTTTTTCCGGGTGCTTTTGATAACTACTGGGAAATTTAAATTTTGACCTAACCAATGTACCAACGATATTCACTTTCCAATCGAACAAGATACTGAAGTGGAAAATCGAAGCATTATTTCGACTACTTATCGTGTACATAGACACAAAAAAAATAAAAAATAAATAAAAAAATAAAAAAACACACATCATTGTAAAATCAATAACATTCATCGTTCCACTCAGAATCTAAAATTATGTTGATATTCAAAATAGTGAAACATTTAAAAAATATTTCCAAAAAAACTATATAATATTCTTTATTAAATAATAAATTGTATATCTTCAATCTTGTATTCTAACAGTAGAAGTGTAGAAGTATTTTATAAAAAGGATAGGTATAACAAAATTTACAAATTAATATGTAGGTATTCAACTGGTGTTCACTCGTTTTACATTCATCCGATTTTGTCTTCGTTAACCCGCATTTAAACGTATTATGGTAATTAATAATTATATAGGAGTTACGAATTTCGATATCTAGGTACCAACATAATATAATACATATATATTATTTACTCTATGGTTAATGCTCATTACACATATTATACACGCATATATTAAATAGGTAGGTACTTTTAATGTAGGCAGGTATTTATGTATAAGCCTATTATATAATTATGTATACATTTGCAAAATATATATTACATTTTAAACTATAGTACCTATATATATGAATGGGCTGTACTTAATTAGGTAGATATTTGACAGTTTGGATATATAATACAATATGCATATGTGCACGACGTATTGACGTAGATATATTATTATGTATCATGTATGTAAGTTAATAAGGTACATTGACATATCGTATTTATACATTATATATATAGTACAAACAGTAAACCACGAATATATTGTAATGTCTATAGTCTACTTAGACATGTAGTCGATTAGGGCTTCTCTATTTTTAGGTGGTGCTTGAGACAAGGTATAAGTAAATTAAACTATTCTATAATATTATGTCGTGTATTTATCAATATATATGGAACCCTCGGGCTTCTTTCTGTTCATTTGAATATTTAGTATATTATTGGATATGTGTATTAAATTCCAAGAGGTATATATTATACTTGTGGCATATAGAGTTTAGTAGGGTCTAACTGTCTAAGCCTGGGGTCGGTAACACGACTTTTTTTTATTTATACCGAATAATAATTTTGTTATCTAAAAAGGTACAGCTGCCAATTAATGTTTTTGATTAAATCCCGTATAATGGCTAAATAATTTTGAGTTGAAAGTTATTCCTATTGTATACTTATATATAACTTTAAACTCAAAGTTGAAACTAAATCTGTAAAATATTTAGTTTCAATATCATCTACAGGCTATTTGGCCTTGATTCAATAATCAATATGATGGGAATATGCGTGAATTGGAACATAGGGTATACTTATTATTTACAACAATACATAATGTACTATACTCACAAAAAAAATAAAAATAAATCTACTCGCACCAATTTTATTTGAGATTTACAGGAACTAGGAAGTATACTAGTTAAGTAATTCCTATGGAGTTTTCAAAACTATAAATTAATACAATACAAATATACTTATATTTTGAAATGTAGAATCACAAAACAATTAAAACATAAGCGTCAAGTATATAGGTAAAATAGATTTAAAATACCTATACACCTATATGGATTATGGGTTACCTTTGGCTATTTATAGTCATGTATTATTTTTCAACTAAATATTAAAATAATAAATTATAAAACTATAGTCACGGTGCATTACATTCTCCTCCAGGTAGGTTTATTTGTCTTAGAATCGTAAGGCTTATAAATTATAACTATAGACCATTTTCATCATTCACGATACATTACCCCAGTAGATGGATTATTATAGTGGAGTTGATTAAAAAAAAAAGTAGGTTTCTTATGATGAGTATCGTTATTTGTTCGAACTTCGACGATGTCCTATTATTTGGTACAATTGTAGCTACCTATCATCTGTCGAAATGTCTATAATATTACCTAGATATATCATTATACAATAAGAGCAATAAGATCAAATAAGAGCAACAATAATGAAAATAACAACAACAATAATAATAATAATATTCATTAGGGGGAGCCGGGGAGGGGTTACTCTTAGATATTATGTTAGAGATTATGTAGACGGGTATATAATGTACGTTCAATGTTACTGTTACATATTAGTATTATTATATTTTACCAGTGATCGTGGGTCTCGTCTAATTCTTTAAAAATATATATATTCCCATATATATATATATACCTAATATATATTCTACACAGCCGTATATATATTATACATATACATAATAAAATATTATATTATGTGCAGTAAAATCGTGCCTACACACAATGACAACACTTGTACACGCAGAACCTGTCCGAGGTCCTATAAACACAATACGCGCGTACTCGTCACGTTATTATATTTTATATAACGCATACACATCACACTGCCTATTATATACATATATAGGTACACACGTACTCACACAGTTACACATATTATTATATATTTATAATTCATATATATAAAACACAACTAAATCGTATACATATATACCTATATATAGTTTCGTCAAGACCCGGGCTGCGGTACGGGTAGTATAAGTGACTATAGCGGAACGGACACGGGACAATATACATATAATAGTATACAGAGCGATTCTTTTGCGATACAGTAGTTTTCTGTGTGCTGGCGAATACTACGAAATAGGATCTATGACAAGAATACGATTCGTATGCGCCTACGTCGAAATCTTCACCACCAGCAGCAGCAAATATTATTTTCCGCTTCAGGACATGAAACAAAAAAAAAAAAAACAATAATAATGATATTCATACTGTAACGGCAGTAGGGGGTTAAAATAAAAATGCACGTTTTAAAAAGTATAAAAGTAAAACGATTTCAACGACACGTTGTACATCATATTTTTTACGAATATAAACAATTTACATTTTTTTTCATTTACATTTACATTTTTTACCTATAGGTATCGTAATGACTTCAAATCGTGTAAAAAAATTTCAAAAACGCAATTTACCGGGAAAAAGTTCGGTCATCGTCGGACTGTATAAGGAATCACCTTGTAATGCGATGAACCTAAATAATTTATCATTATCGTATAAATTATATTATTATATACGCGGGCGTGTTCGTGTGTAATTCTCTAAAATATTATTAGCGTATACCTATAATAATAATAATAAACTATCTTATGACCGCACATATAGGTGGAGGCGGCCGCCGTCGAGAAATCAACGTCGCACCTCGAGCAGGCCCTGAGGTCTTCAACCTCCTTGAAACGCTCGGTGGGGAGGTTGTTGAACTACAGAAAGAAAACGGAGAGAGAGAGAGAGAGATATGGACAAAAACAGCACACAACAACTACTACTACAACACAAGTCACAAACACACAATAATAATTATTGCGCGTACGTCTCGTGTGCCGCGGTGGGGAGCTGATAGCGGCCGATTTTGTGTTTTTGTTTCGTTGGCTCCCGAGTCCCGGTTCGGGTCGTCAGAGAGAACCGAACGGCTCCGAGATTCGCATGCCGCGCCCCGCTCACAGCAGTTGTGTCGGTAGTGAGTTGTGTTGTGACTTGTGACTTTTGATATTATGTCCGGACGGGAAACGACGACGACGACGACGACTACAACGGACGACCAGTCACAGGTAAAACCGTCAGCTGCAGACCGGCGCGCGTACATCGGTAACATCGGTACCAGGTTACCTGGTATTCGACGCTGAACTACGACTACTACTACGACAGTCGACGTGTGACGAGTGGCGCGCGCCGCACGATATTCTGTTATCGTCTCGGTCTTGTCAATGTTTTGTAATCGTGTTTGAACAGGCCTACGGAGTACCGACAGCAGTGGCAGAAGTCCGTTCACTGTTGTAGCTGTGCGATTTGTTGACGGTCGTGGTGACTGCCGCAGTACACTCTTCTTAAACTATTAGTTTCCCAGAGATGCCGGCATATCAGTTCTGAACTCATCAACATCAGACCAGAGGATCCCGACCACAGAATACGAGGGTATGTACTCCTTATTCATTTACCCGACGGACGACTTCACCATAGGTCGTGTTCGGGCAACAGTGTTTTTGACATAATATATTATTTTGCTTAGGAACGGGGAAGTACGACTGTCCGTTACAAACATGCTCAAGTTCATCCGCGGCAAAGGCCAACAGCCCTCAGTTGAGCGGCAGAAGATCCAAAAAGACTTGTTTGCTTTCAGAAGGGTAACTATGGCTCCTTGCACTATGTGCTATCTATTTTATTTTTCATAGTCCGTTTACTGCTTAAAAATAAGCAATGTGGCTTGTGTTAACTGGTTTTTATCTACTTGCGATGTCTATTTTTTACTGATAATTTACTATAGTAAATGTTGAACACAACATTCCTTTAAATATTGTTTTATTACCTATTAAATATTTTAAAATGTTAAAATTAAACAATTAATTAAACAAATAATGTACATTTTGTGACAGACATAAAGAAATTTGCATCTAGCCATTATTAAACTAGGTATATTGTTTTAAATTAACATTAACCAATAATAATTGATATTTCAGACTCTACAGTATGGGTTTCCAAATAAACCAACATCGCTTTCATGGGACCCATTATTACGTATCATGGCAATTGGAACTTCAACTGGATCAATTAAAGTGTATCCTTTTACTTAAATGTCTTAATTGATTCTGAGACCTTGTCATTCAGTTATATCTTAAAGCGCTAAATTACATACACCATTTTTGTTATGAATGTTATGTATATTATATAATCAATGAATACATTTTACTTTTTCCATTATAATTTACATTTTTGTAAAAAGCCAGTATCATTATACCTTTATATATTGTATAAAAAAGAAATCCATTCAAAAATATTTTTCTTAACAAAATGTACATAGATTGGGTAAGACTGGTGTTGAATTCTATGGTCATTTACCATGCTCCGATCATGCAATTACAAAATTAATATTTGTACCAAATCAAGTAATTATACTTCACATATTTTAATATTTAGATTATAAAACAAAAATACATCTTATGCTAATGAATATGATAAAAACAATTTATTCAGGGTCGTTTGGTGTCATTGTCTGATGACAATAGTCTTCATTACTGGGAAATAAACGACATGGCCATTGATGAAGTTCAATCATACTTATTGGAGGGAAAGTGGGTGTTAAGATTGTTTTTAATTTGTAAATTGAGTCAATTGATAATTTAAATATTAAATGATTTGTAGGCTTAAACAAATATCGTCTATGTGCTTGGAATCTAGTTGTGAGAACTTATTACTCGGAACTGAAGGAGGAAATATATTTTTTATTGATTTGTCAACATTTGAATTATCAGATAACATTATTTATCAAGATGTTGTGATGCAGAAGTATGTATAAAGTATTATTAGCATATTTAAAATATCATTAAACTTTATTTTAAATTGTGTTTAGGGTTTCAGATGAGTATAAAAAGAACCCTGGTGCAGTTGAAGTTATAGCAGAACAACCAGGAAATCAAAATCATATTTTAATTGCCTATAGTCGAGGACTAATAGTTTTATGGGATCGCTTAAACGCAGTTGCTGTAAAAGTAAGAGAATACACTTAATTTTATTTTATTGTATTGATCTTAAGCATTGGCAACTACGGCCATTAGTCATTACTATTTATTGTATTATTTCTATATTAAATCAATATGTATGTGTATCACAAAAACTTAATTATGATATTTATATTTTTGTACTAATATAATATATTATATTATATTTTTTTTAAATGTTTGTTTCTTTTCTACTTTTTTTAGACATTTGTAAGTAGTCAACAAGTAGAAAGTGTATGTTGGGAAGAGAACGGGGAAAGTTTTTATTCTTCTCATAATGATGGATCTGTAACACTCTGGAAAATAAATGAAACATCTGATGAAAATGAAAACACTAAAACAATTTATGGCCCATTTCCGTGCAAACCAATCTCTAAAATAGTTTGCCAACAATCTGCTCAAGACCTCAAGTATATAAATTATTTAAAAAATATTTTAATTTAATATTAATGATTTATTTTTATTAGTGAACAATTACTAATATTTTCTGGTGGTATGCCACGGGCATGCTATGGTGATCGCCATGCAGTTACGGTTAGATTGGGAACTACTAAACATGTAGCTTTTGAGCTTACTTCAAAAGTTATTGATTTTTTCACAACTACTGCTTCAGTTGATGAAAAAGGTATTATGAGAATATTATAAAAAAAGTTTATTTATTTTTAATTATATTTTAATATTTGAATTTATTCTAGGCTGTAGCTTCCTTATAATTCTGGCAGAAGAAGAAATAGTCTGTATCGATTTATCTACAGAAGATTGGCCGTTGGTTCAACTACCTTATCTTGTATCCATTCATGCAAGCGCTATAACATTTACAACTTTTGTTTCTGATTTAAACGAAGATCTTTGGAATAATATAATTGCGATTGGAAACTTACAAAATGAAAATAACTTTTCTTCAAATGTAAGTCTAAATTAATTTTAAACAGTTTAAGTCAATAATTTAAATTTAATTTACTATTTTATAATAAAATGAAATGTATTTGAATAAAATTTAAAATTAATATTGTTAGGAATGGCCAGTTGATGGTGGTGAAGCAAACATTGAAGAAGAGCAAAGTAGAGATCTTTTAATTACTGGCCATGAAGACGGTTCTGTTAAATTGTGGGTTGCAAATGCAACTCCATTACTTCCAATACATGTATTTAAATCATCATGGGTATTAGTTGGTGATGATGCTGATAACCATTCCAGTAATAGTGTAGCTCCAGATGAAGATGAGGAAGAGTGGCCACCATTTAGGAAAGTTGGAAATTTTGATCCTTATTCTGATGATCCTCGATTAGCGATTAAAAAAGTTATTCTTTGTCCTCGAACTGGTACAATGATTGTTGCTGGTACAGCTGGTCATGTTATAATTTCCAAATTTAATGATCAGTCATCTTCTAATGAAATAAAGGTAAATATTATTATATTTTACAATTATATTTTAATGAAATTTAATAACTATTTTTGTTGTTTGATATTCAGGCTGTACAAATGAATGTTGTTGGAGAAAGTTTTGTATGGAAAGGTCATGAACGTTTAAGTTTAAAACAGACTGGAGATGAAGCTAATAATAATAATGGAAAAAATATCACTTGTCTTACTTTTAAAGCTGGATTCCAACCTTCATCTGTTTTACAAGTATATCCTCCTGCATCAATTACAGCTATAGCTTTACATTCAAATTGGTCTTTGGTTGCTGCTGGTACTGCTCATGGCTTAGTACTTTATGATTATTATCGACAAGCTCCTGTTTTGACAAAATGCACTTTAAATCCCAATGGTAATAATTAATATGTGTTGTATAAGTTCTAACTTTCCAAGTACATATTTACTTTATAAGTGTTGTAATATATTATAACTTTTATTTATGTATTTAGATTTGTCCACTGCTGGAGATACTCCTATTTCTAGGAGAAAATCATTCAAGAAGTCATTAAGGGAGTCATTTAGAAGACTTAGAAAAGGAAGAAATTCTACCAGAATAGCAAATGATAAAAAAGGAGCAAGCATTACACCTGACAAAAAACGAGAAAAGTCTGTATTTTTAATATTATTTATTATAACCATTACTGTTTTATTATTTTATGATTAAACAATTTTTTATTTAGTACTGGACCAATATCCCCAATGGAAGCACGACCTGTTGAACGGGCAATTGAAGCCAGACCAGTTGATGATGCATTGGGAAGTATGGTTCGTTGTTTAAGTTTTACAAAAACATTTATTGTTACAGGTAATTTATAAAAATAATAAATCCAATTTTTATAATATTTTTTGAATTTTTAATGGACAAACATAATAACATAGAATATAATTTAATAAAACAGCTTCACATATTACTCCTACGATGTGGGCTGGTACGAACAATGGTTCTGTTTACATTTTTACGATAAGTATACCACCAAACGATAAACGAAAAGAAAGAAGAGTCACTGCACAACTAGGAAAAGAGGTTCAGTTAAAGCATCGTGCACCTGTTATTGGAATTACTGTGATTGATGCAGAAAATCGCTCAGTCACTGAAGTTCAAGAAAATAGCACTCCGGGTAAACCTTTAGATATATGTGGTCCTCACAAGGTCATTATTGCATCGGAAGAACAATTTAAGGTAATATTTATATTTTTCAAACAAATAAAATAAAAATATTGTTTAATTTGTTTGATCTAATGTTGTAGATATTTTCCTTGCCTAATTTAAAACCTGTATGCAAACTTAAGTTAACTGCAGCTGAAGGTGCTCGAGTTCGCCGTATGTCAATGGCATTTTTTAAAACTAGTGATTATGCAGAAAGCTGTCTTCTCTGTCTAACTAATTTAGGTGAAGTAATAGTACTTAGTGTACCAGACCTTCGAAGACAAATACATGCTGCAGTTATTCGTCGAGAAGATATCAAGTATATTATTCAATAATAATATTGAAATGTGTGTATTTAAGTTATTTACATATTATTTGATTTATAGTGGTATTTCAAGTTTGGCATTCACGCGTTATGGGGAAGCTTTATATTTACATTCAAGTAGTGAACTGCAGAGAATTTCTGTATCTGCAACCAGTGTCACACAAGTTGATTGTTCTTTGAATTTACCTACTAGAGATCGACCATCAAATAGTCGATCTATTACCCCTATTAATGGTTATACAGATGACGAACAAGATGATTTTCCAAAAGTAAATGGTATGTATTAAAAAAATAAGTACAATAGTTATAAATATATAAATTTATTTTTATATTTCAGGATTAACAAATGGTACTCAAGAAAATGGTGATAGTAATTCACAACTAAACAATAGCAATGATCTCTCAGTCGGTGATATTACTATAGACTCCATTAAAGACCATTTGGGAAGGTAAGAAAACAGAAAATAATAAATTATTAGGTCTATCATGTATATTAGTTGAAATGTAATAATTATTTATGATTTGTTTGTCTTTATAGTTCAAATACTAATCTAAATGTAACATCAACATCAAATAATGTTGATGTTAATAATCATCAGAAAACGGTCACCAAACATGAATTGTCATCCACCACTACAACCACTGTGAAAACATCAAATTCTACTACAGTGATTACTAATGAAACTATCACAGTCGACAGTAAGTACATTTCTGTAATTTTATATTGTATGTTTTAATTACCTAGTATTGATAAGCGTTAAATTAAAATATAACTTATATTTTGATATAGCTTTTAGTTTGTGTTGTGTATTTTTTATTTAAATCGTTATGTAGTTTAGTATTCGCACCTAAATAGTTTTTTTCATTTGTCAGATATATCCACAAGTTTAGTTGTAGAAGATGATCCATCAACACAGTCCAAATTTGAGGTTAGCCAGTCCTAAAAGTTGTATGGCTATGTGATAGCTAATTTGTTTATTTACACTTCTAATTTTCACTTTTGTATGTGATAAGCAGATTAGACAAACTTCTTCTTAAATTGTCTGTGCATTTATGCGCACATCCAAATTGCTCTTTGCTAATTTCTGCCACATACTTAGTCCAGCTTATAAGTAGAATCAAAATATTGTTAACTGTAATCAACTCAATATAATATATATATATATATATATATATTAGAGGTGAGTCGAACGGTTTAAAGTTCAAAAAATCAAACCAAACTATAGGTGTTTGGTTCGAGTTTGAAAATCATACTAAGCTTTAAAAAACAAGAACCAAACCAAACTAAAACGAAAAGTTTGAAATTCTATAATTAATTTGAACTTTAAAATAGTTTGAACTCCAAAGCAATGTACGCATTCCAACATGTCAAACGTTTCAAACCAAAAATGTTTCGGTGTTTATTGTAAAATATTAAATAATTCATTTTTATTTTGTCTATTGCCTATATAGTATATACGCCCATATTCTATACTAGTTTATTTTTATTTATTTTTAATGTGGAGAGTTCAATGTACCTTCAAGTTGCATTATTGTTATGTTTAATTTTAATATTACAAAAGTAAAATTAAACACTTGATACTGTCTAGGAAATCTATTATTTATTGGTGATGCATAACGATATCGTATTTCAATATCGTTGAGACTAAACTACCGAAAGTATTTCAATATCGATATCAATTTGTTTCAATTTAAAATTCATATTTTCTAATTTTATAAGTTTTGACAGTGAATCATTGTAAAAGAACAACACTGACCTTAAAGCCTCTACAATAAACGTGTTTAGCTATTATAGTTGGATTTTTACAATAAGTCTCGTTTCTTACGTCATTTATGTTGAGTTTCTGATATTCATTATTAATAATATTTAGTGTTGAACAAAATGTTCGGTTCAAGTACAATTAAAAAGTTTGGTTTTTAGTTCTACATCAATACATCACCCTGAATTACTCAGTTTGACATTAAAAGGTGGTTCGGTTTGAAACTATAGTTTGGAGTTTGACCCATCTCTAATACAGTCAAATCAGCTTAATTGGGACACATTGGGCCAATCTGTATGATCTATTTGTCCCGATTAACCGAAGAATTTTACATACAATACATTCATTTGGGACTGTCATTAATGTCCCCTTTAAGCGGATTCTACTGTATATATATATATATATTTAAATGAAAAAATGAGGATAATTGGTGTGGGTGATCATTTAACAGTTCATTAATTTTATTTGACAAAAACTAAGGATTACGGTTGTTATTTGTTATCTAATATGTATATATTTTAATGTTAATAAATGCATAAAAATTCTCATAATTTTGTTAACATAATTTGAAAGTTAATATAATTCATATTATTACTAAATATAAAATAATATAATTATATTTACAGATATTTCTTTAATTATAATTGGTGCGAGGGAAACTAAAAATGTACAAACAAAAGTTATATGATATAATATTAAAATATAAAATATATTTTAATATAATTATAATATTTATATATATAATTTATTAATAAATCATACTTATGCAAGGGAAAAATTGTAAAGTGTTTGTGAAATTATATTATTACGGTTCAATATTTTATTACTAAATTCATAGTATTCCACTGTTCTTTAGGTTTTACTTATTAAAATCAGAGCATTTAAGATTCTTTTATTTTACCATATTAAATTAATTAATTAATGGGATACCTTGAACATAGTTAAATTGAATAAAATATTGATGTATTAATATTTATTTATAAATTTCATATAAATTTACAATTCTGTCATGCAAATATGCTGAACAACTAATACAGTTATTTTATATTCATACAATTTATTAATGTAATTACCTGTTATTTCAACCTATGTAGAGGCTTTCTTTTCTTATTTTTGCTTACATAATAATATGTATATTACTAATTTATTACTATTATTTTTTTATGCATATATAATTTTTTTTTAGATACATAGAGCTCCTTTAGCTCTTATGGAAGACCTAGAAGTAGAGACAGCTGCATAATGTGATAAGTGATAACTAATGATGCGTGTAATTGACACAACATTAACTCGAATGTTTATGTAATTCACGACGTATATTTCAATAAGGTTATAGTTGAAGTCTTAATATTAATTATAGTTATTTACTACTAACAAAGAAAAAAATTGATTAATATGACTCAAAATTAATGTTGTACCTGTCTTCAGGTAGTATTCTGACGTGGCTATCATATATTTTATATTTTTTTACACTTACTAATTTATAATATAAAAGTGGCACTTCACCATTCCTAACACAAATTTATTAATGGTGCCTTAGTTAAGCAATAAGCATAGTAAACTAGGCGGTATTTAATAAATAATAATAATACTATTTTGTGACAAACTTTTTAAGTTTTTAATTTTGATAAAAAAATACTATTTATTTATTGTATATTTAAATTTAAATATATTTCGTCATAATATGCACTAAATTCAATATATTTTTTAACTCCATAAACTGAACTACATTTATGTGTTTATTATTATTGAAAATAGTTGTACATAAAATCATATTTGGTAAAGTAATATTATACTTGTTAAATTCATACTTAAAATGTACAACTATTTTCAAATTAAATTTCTTTATTTTTTATGTATTATTGTTAATTTAATATTTTTATAAAATAATGAAATATGAATTTTATATTGTATTTATATTTTACAATTGTGTCATGTAAAATATAAATTTACTTCAAAAACATTCCTTTTATGTATTTATTAAAAATATTAATTATTGTTTAAATTATCCATTATTAGATTTTTGGTCCATCAATTTGCAGTGTTTCTTATTTAATTTGATTGTGAATTTTTTTCTTTATGATTCGTTGTAAAAAATGTTAAATAAAGATATCTTTTACAATTGTGGAGTTTTCTGTTTCTATTTTTTTTTTTTTTTAAATGACAAATTTTGTTTGTATATACTTTAGTCAATTATTTATTATAATTTTTATACTTATTTACTAAACTAATATTTTAAACAAAATTGTATTTTATGTCATAGACCAGCTTGTATGTGTATTTAATTTTTTATATAATAGATTCCACATGCCAATTTTGGCTAAAATACCAGTTCTTATTATCTTTTATATATACATAATAATATAATAATTATATTTATTTTTATAATGTTTAAATTGCCTTTTGTTCATTTATTTATATGTGTATCGATTACTTTGTAATTGCTTGGAACATCCACTTAATTGTTGTATATCTTTGGTAATCCTTTCCGGCCCTTAATAAAATAAATATAACTTATTAATTAAACATTTTTCGTTAGAAATGTTAAAGGTGATGGTTTGTACTGTAGGTTTAATATTTATAGTTTTTAAAACATTTTATGTTTTGTATTTAAAAACAAATTTTATATAACCCATATACTTTGTAAACACCAATTTTATTGTAATACAATTTGTAACCTTTTTTTAAAAAAATAAAAAAAAAAATCGATTTTTTTTCTGCTATATTGTTCACCCTGTTATTTCCATAGCAACCCTGAAACACCCTGCTCTGGGTCAATACCAGCTACTTGCTGCAATGGGGAGATGATAAAAAGACTACTGCACCAGTTATGCTAGAATAGGTGGACAGTGCACTCTAGCAGTTTGGTAGACTGCATATTATTATGAAATAAAAAATTATATGGAACATTAATTTCATAAATTGTTTATTTTATTAATAGGATATTATAAAATTTATAATTTTTTTTGGGAACCATGACTGTTAGAAACAGCCACTGGGTAGCACTTTTTTCTCAATTATTCGTTTTATCTGCAAGTGTGGTTTTGTTTATGATTCCAATTTATCTACTCTGGAGTCACATTACTTATGAACAAAATCATTTATCTAATTATAAGTAAGTACTGTTATATAAGAAAATATTTTTTAATGACAGTAGTTAAAATTATTAACCATTTTTTTTACATGTTTTATATTGCAGGCCTCACGTGGTAGCTTTAATATTAGCTCGAGGTGGTAGTAAAGGAATACCAAGAAAAAATTTAGCTGTAATACAAAACACTACACTTCTCCGAAGATCTTTAGACACTATTAATGATTGTGGATGTATGATAAATATGATTATTAATTTTTTTGTTAAGGGAAACTAAAAATTATTTAATTTGTTACCATTAAATGGTTTATTTTTACGGAAAATATGAAGAAAATAAAAATAATTTAAATTAATTTTATTGATTGGAAATTATGCATAAATTCTATAGTCTAAATAATATTTTTGAATTTCATAATACTCTTTTAGACCAACTGTGAAGATAAATAATTGTGTAGATATGTATGATAGTAATTAGATTTGCCACCTTTGAAAGATGACAGGACTAATAAGAAAAAAATCATCACCAAAGGCCATATACTAGACCACACCTATACACCTTATACTTAAGAGATAATATCAGGTGAAAAGGCCTGGCAATGAAATTCAAGAAATGGTTTATGTAGTTAATATAGTAATAATCTTACAACGACCCGGAGAGTAATTCACTAGACCCATAGTCCATAGTTTTATAATGTGTAAAACCCGAGTATCCAGGTAAGGTCCAGAAAAGTGGTATCCCTTGTAGTAATACCTATTTCCAACACATGTATTGGCTACCGGTATCCACTTAAGAGTAAGTTTACCTTCGAACTTTGATTAGAATGGTTTTTTTAAGGCAGCTAGATTTAAAATTTAAAAACCTCCACCTTAGTTGTACTCCTGAAAGCTAACTTCTGTATCATAAGTTTGTTTTTTATTTTAGTGTTCCACGATGTATGGGTATCAACAGATGATAAAGAAATTGCTGCTGAAGCTGAATTAGCCGGTGCTAAAGTTTTTCACCGTAGTGCAGAAACTGCTTCGGATGAAGCAACATCACTTAGTGCTGTTAAAGAGTTTAGCATGTACCATCAAAAAGTGGATATTTTTGCTATCATTCAGTGTACCTCACCATTTATGACTGCTGAGTATCTGACTAGAGCATATAAAATGGCAGTTAATCAGAAATTTGAATCTGTGTTTTCTGTAACGCGAACCCATAAACTCCGCTGGAAACTAGATTCTGGTATAGTATTGTTGTTGATTGATTTTAAATAATTTTAGTGTTAAATTAATTAAAGTTAATAGATTGGTTATAATCATTATATTAGAAGGTCAACTGCAACCATCAAATTTTGATGTTACCAAAAGACCAAGAAGACAAGACTGGGATGGAGAATATGTGGAAAATGGCATGTTTTATTTTACATACAAGAACCTAATTGTAAATAATAAGCTTCAAGGAGGAAAGTAAGTATTTTAGATTTGGAATTTTCCTTTGAAATAACTTATTTATTTTTGATAAATTTAATTTTTAGGTTGGGAGTAGTTGTGATACCAATAAATCGAAGTTTAGAAATTGACACACAATTTGATTTGCAGGCTGCTCGACTTTTAGCTCCATTACTAGATAAACCTAAAAATTTAACTAATAGAACTAATGAAATGATTAAAAAGTCATAAGTCAATTTTAAAATTATAGTTATGTAATTACTTATTATAAGTTTTAGTTAATATTATTAAAAACCAATATTTCTGTCTGTATAAAAAAGATTAATATACCTGACCTGAGTATTCGTGAATACATAGGTAATAGGTATTTATTATTTTGTGAATATTATTGTTAGATAAATTATAGAGTTTATACCAAATACAATTTTAATTTTAAATATACTTTTCATTATACTTGAGTTTTAAAAGAACAATGGTAAAAATACGAGTAATGTAAAACTGGTTGAATAGGAAAATCAGTATAGATTGAAACAAAATCATTATAAATTTATCAAGTACAGGAGTTTAGCTCTTAAATGTTTCTCCAGTATTATACAGTGCCGGATTGGCCCAGCGAGTTACCAAGTAAAACTCAGTGGGGACGTTCAAGTCACGAGGGGCGGTGCTGACTGAAAATATGTTTAGAGTTAAAAGTTTAAGAAATGCAGACTATAAAATAAAAAAACTATGCACAGAATAAGAACGTACCCAAGGGCCTCCAGTTTGTAAGTGGGCTGGTAAAATATGGATCACTCGGTGAGCAGAGTTTATCCAATCTGGCCCTGGTAGCATAGGCAGGTAGCTACTACCTACAGTTACTGATGGGGAGTAAATAGTAATACAAAATAACCTCAAAAACTCAAATGCATTTTTGCTCACTTTCAGTTTTTGAATAACTCGACTAACTACTGATAAAATGCTACATTTGGGTAATAAGTACCTAATAACTTATAACTTAGTCAACTTAGACATTAACTAAAAAATAAATACCAACTAATTGATAAAGTGAAAGCTAAATAGGAGTCATCTGTCTTTTCCTGCTATATGTCCACCCAGTGACATAACCAGAAATTTTGTATAACTGAGGGGGGGGGGGCTAATTCTCACAAAAAAAAAAATACAAAAAATACAAATACAATATGTCTTTTATTTACACTTTTTATTTTTTTATTAATCTTGATAAAATTCTGAGGTCAACACTAGGTCAATGGGGAGAGGCCCCCTTAGTCCTCCTGGCTAAACAACTTGATACAGAAACAAAAAAATTGTTGATATAATACATAAGCAGTTCCAGCAGAGTCGTCGTCGTCACAAAAACAAAAATATTATGTTTATTATTTTACTATAAATGAATTAAATATAATAACATATTACTATAAATATTAAATATTATGTACCTTTTGCATATTAATATTTGTACTATAATTCTTTGTGTGTGTCAACATAATATTGGAGGTCGTCTGTAAAAAATAAAAAAAATCATAAATCAAAATAAATACCTAAATTCTAACTTCGGATTTAATTAGGAATCTGGTTTAATTTAAAAACTTATTTGCTTGAAACTTTGTTTCTACATTGAACGAAGATCCCGAAATATATTATAATAATTAGATATGAAATGAAATGCTTATTATTACATAATTTACCTATAACGGTAAATAATAATTTATGAATTATACTAACTAGTTAAGAAAAAAAAAAAATGTGGTGATTGTGTGACATAAATATGTATTAATAAGTAACCATTAATATTTAATTGTATTTAGAACCTAGTGGGAATTAGGTTTATTAGTTTCTATAGGGATAAACAAAGCGTTATACAAAATCGGTTAGAATATAAAAAATTCTGTACCCAGCCCAAAACATATTTATGTTAAAAAGTATTCACACTAAAATAATAATATAATTATCATTAATAACATGCACCACCTAACATAAAGTTTAAGCACTTACCTTTAACATTAAAGTGTTTTTTTTGATTTTTTAGTTTCCCGTTTATAAATTTAGTCATTAAATATTTCATCTATTAAAACATTGAAAAATTAAAATATAGTTTTAAATTGTAGTATCCAAGACCAATTACTACTATATTCTAAACAATATACCTTCTGCCTAATATTTGAATGTTTTGTTTCAATTGTTGATATTGACAACACAGGTTGAACATATTTTGGAAGTCTTTCTTGTTCTTCTACTTGCTTATCTCTCCAAATCTGAACGTAGTATTAAAATTATTTTATTTATTCATATTAAAAATAGTTATTTTTATTATTTTTATTTGATACATTATAATGCACTCACCGTTGTTTCTAAAATCAATTTTTCCAGTTTATCCATTTCTGTTTGGGTGATTGGACTATCCTCTAAAGTATTGTTTTTTAATTTTTTCAAAAATGTATTGCTCTTTTTTAATGTGTTACTTAGGGCTTCTAATCTTTGTGATCTTTCTATGTGCTCAAAAGCTCTATCCCAAACAGGCTGTATTATTTTTCTTAAACTATTATATTTATACTCTAATTCTTCTGCTTCAGCGTCGAGGCCATCATATCCCAACCAGTTTGAAATCTTATAACAGCAAGTTTTACTTATTTATTACAATATATAATATATAATACATAGGTTCATATTATTGTATAAACATAATATTACATTATGATAAATGTATCTATAATCTATATAAAGGAATAAAGGATTATTATTAGCTGTATAATCTAGGCATATTAATATATTATATACAATTATACATTGTTCTACTTAATGATTGATTTCCTAATAAAACAATTGGTAGATTAGTGTACAAAAAATGTATATAATATGTCACAATATAATTCTGTGAACTTAACAATGAACGTAGTGAAGTAAGTAGTAGATATAAATAGAGTGGATAAATGATTACCCTGAAAAACACCAGGTATTACATAAATATTATCTTTGTTTTGTTATAATTAAAGACCGGATTTAGCATGAAATGCATGTTGCTATTTTCAACATCATATACATGCAGTCAATGAGCGTTCATAAATCATTACTGGATTAATTAAATAGCTATATTTTATGCTGCGGTATTTTTGCATATTTCGATGCTAGTGTATGGTTTGCATATTTGTGCATATTTGAACAAAAAAAGCATACATCAAATATTTTACGATTCAAAGAATTCAATTTGTCGTACTTCCTAAAATGTTATTTACTTGGTTTGCAACCTATTACCGATTAAAAATTAAATTAAAATTTAGTAAATTACATTTTTGTACTGCATATCTCAATATCAGTGCTATAATATATATATTATACATTTTACTTTTTGTGTATAAGAATTTTAATAAAATTAATAAATAATTAACGCTGCAAAATTGAAATTTAAACTTGCATGTTTTGAATTTTTTTCATGCCTATTTTGACTCTTTTTAGTGCATGTTTGCATGCATATTTTACAATTTAAAATACAAATAAGTCCGGTCTTTAGTTATAATATACTAAACTACAGATACTTATACTTAATTTCAAAGTATTTACAGTTAACCAAAGAGACAAGAGTAGGTACCTCAGTCAATTTTTCCAAAATAGATCTTGTTTCTGCATCAGTAGCAGAATGACTATACTCTGGTTGGCTTAATTTTTCACGCACTTCGACAATAAGAGTAAGTAAACTATGTAACGCCTTTTCTTTATGTAATTGAGACAAATCTTTAAATCTAAGTTTCTTTAACCTAAATAATGTAAAATTTAGAATATTAAAAATTAAAGTTTCTAAAAAAATACTTTACTTTATAATTAAATGTTGCAAATCATCATCATCTGTAGGAAGCACGAATAAATATTCATGATCAACTTCAATAGTTTGTCTAACAGCAGGAAGTTTAGAACCACTAGAATTTTCTAGGGTATTTTTGACAGATAATTTATTTTCATTGAATTTGTCATGAACTAAATTAAAAATAATTCAAATGGATACATAAAACTTGTTTCTTTTTTTAACAAACTATTATAATTTTAAATTTTAACCTTTAAATAAATTTGGTATGTAATTTAAAATGTTCAATAAAGTTGATTCCTCTACTTGATCATTAGTAACAGACTTTCCAATTGAAAACTCAACATTTTCCAAAACTAATATACCACTAGCATCCATAATAAAATGTAAGTTTATTTTATTGGGATCTGAACTTTCTTCATCTTTATACTTAGAATATGCATTTTGTACTCCTTTTAATTTTATATGTTCAAGTGACAAAGAACCTAAACATCTTATTTCATTTTCATCTAAATGATTAAGTTCTGCATAACCCACAGTCAAATCAAAATCTAATTTATGATTAATAAATGTTACTATTATCCTTTGTGGGTAAGGCTTCATGTAACTAAATAAAATACGCCTTACTTGTTTTATGGGTTCACTCTCATATTTTTTTTCTCTATAAAATTTCAACTATATAGAACATATTGATATATAAATATATAAATTCTTAAAGTGTAAAACATGATTTGTATCATATAATATGAATAAATTAACCTCAATAGGGAACATTGTGGCGTCTTTAGTAATAAATGTATTAACTTCAAATCCATTTCTCAGTTCTGCTGCTTTATATGCAGCTCCTAAAGCAGCAGCATCATCAGTATTCAAAGACCGACCAAGCAAATGACCACTTTTTAAATCTTTAACTAAAACATCTTGAATTCGAGGAACTCTAGTACCAGCACCAACTAACATTACCTAAAACATTATCTATTAATAAAAACATTGTAATTCGTTTTTGAAAACAAAATATAATTCCATTTACCTGTTCAATATGTTCAATAGTTAGTCCTGAAGCTTCTAAGGCTTTTAGAGCTGGAAGTGTAACTTTATCGAATAAATCTTTGCACAACTGTTCTAGTTCTTCTCGAGTAACTTTAATGTACAAATCTTTTTGGTCAATTAAACCTTCTATCTGAAATTTCATATTTCAATTTTAAATATTAATATTTATTTATATTGTAAAGTTCATATCATAGTAATTAAAATTATGTAATGATTAATTACTTGGGCAAAATGTTCAGTATTTGCACTTAATATAATCTTTAATCGTCCAGCTTCTTTGAATAATTTTGCCATGGATTGAGGATTTTTAGTTACATCATTGGGCGTAAATTTTAAATCATTAAATTTAGTTGCTAAGTAATCTCTTAGCCGTAGTTGTATCTCTAAGCCACCCAAATTTCGTTCATATCTGATAAATTTAATATTTAAATATTAAAATAATTATGGTTAGTTAAAATTATTAAGATTTGTATGTACAAACCCTACTCCCAGTACAGTAAGTTGTGGCTGAAGTTCATGAGCTCTTCCATCCTTAGATTTTACTAACTGATAGGATACAACCGATACTTGAGTACCACATGCACCCATATCGTAAAACATCATAAACATTGGAGATATTTCATTAAAACGTTTTATATGAAATATACCATAATTCAAAGCAGCTAAAATATACATAGGCGCAATTTCAGTTTTTAACTTGGAGGGGCTTAACATATTTAAATGAAACAGACCCGTGGGGGCTCTGCCCCCCCCCCCATTAAAGTACCAATATGGCAATTTCATTTTTTTTCACCCACTTTCCCACATTTAATATATTATAAATTGTAATGCATCTATTAATAAAGCTAAAAATATTTGTATGAAAAAATAACAACATTTAGGTAACTAAATGTAATATATATTTATTTATTAACACATTTAGGACGAAGACCGTGTTTTTGAAGATTTTTTTAAGATAATATTATCTTAAAAAATAATTGTTTAGTCGTCAACGTGTTAAGTATATTATTATAATTGGAACCTTCTAAAATAAAAATATATATTTTTATTTTAAATTTAATTGTTTAAAACACTTAAGAAACATCATAGTATTGTTAAATTTGAATACAATTTAATAACTGAACATAGGCATGCGCACGGGGCTAGCCGGTCAAGCCCAGGCTCGACCTGAAACTTTTTAATGGCATAGTAAAATGTGCGTATATATTTAAATATTTTATTATGATGCTTGTATTATAATAATATGTTTGTGGAGATCATAAAAATTTTGTTTGTCTTGAAAGTATAAAAAAATCAAAAATATTTGTGTACCTAACCTAACCACTACATACATTTTATTAATCTAAAAAAAACATTATACCTTTATACAAATACAATAACAATAGTAGTATAGTACTATAGACATTAATAGGTTAATATATCAACATGTATGTTGGTGTGTTAAAAAAAAAATTAGGGGCGCTGTCCAAATATTAGGGCACTATAATTGTCTAGACTCGACCAGAAATTTAACTCTGAGCACGCCTATGTAACTAACCACTATAGTAATTAAATGCTTAAATTAGGCAGTTTTGAAACCTATTAGTTAGGTATAGGTATTGGTAGATTAGGCATTTCTTATACACATGTAGGCTTACCTGCAGTATAACTGTTAATAAGCTGTAGTACTTTAATTCCAACAATTTCTGCTGCTTTAAACATTGCTGATCGTTCAGCTTGACCAAAATAACCAGGGACAGAAATTACTGCTTCATTTATAACTTGCCCAGAATTATCTTGTGCAAATTCTCTTGCTTTTTCCAACATCATTGCCACTAATTCTTCAGGTGAAAATTGTTCACCACTAAAAATGTATTGTATATCATATAATATATTAATAGGTATTAAGTTATAACATTTATTAGTATAGGTACTTATATTATTTAGACCTACGATTCGTTATGCTTGAAAAGCACTGTATTTCTTTTTGGATCAGGAATAATGTTATAATAAGGAAAACGTGTTTTATAGAGATCAACAATCGGATTATCTATTTTCTTTCCTAGTAAGTCTAGAAAATAAACGTAACAGTTGGATGGGAATCGAACTCCCACAGTAAGTGCATCTTTCCCAAACGTACGTTCACCATTGAGAAAAGCTATAGCACTAGGAGTTTTCCTTTTAGATTCTTTGTTAAGAGCTATTTCTTCTGAAAAGTCAGCCTATACAAATTTAGAACATTTTAAAATAAATTGGTAAAAATACAAATATTTGTTTTATGTTTAGCTATACTCATAATTTGTATTAATACTTACTGAAACTATTGCTACTTTCATCCATTCCGAACCAAGGTCTACACTCATTACAGTTAAACTGTGTACAATGTCAATTTTTAAACATAATTCCAGTAATATGATTTGTGTTGTGATTGATGACCAAAACAAGATGTTCATTTTCACAAACTGATGTAAAATTAACTAATAATGATACTAATTTGTTAGTAATAAAAATAATATTTTATACTTACCTATGTTACCTATGTAAAGAACATACAATTTTTTTTTTAATTTTCCAACAAATTCAATGAAAATAGAAGAAATATTCTGTGTTTTATGTTAAAAAAATATGATTTTATATTGTTTAATACTTATAAGTTACAACTGTGTATTTGAAAATTCAAAAAAAAAAAATGTAAGCAAACACTTTTTTTTTATTGAAAATTATTGGAACTGCACATGCATACATAATCTAAACACAAACAAATAGGTATTTGGTAACTTCTGATTGGTTGATTGTAACTGCTAACTAGTAGTATTGACAATTTTTTCTAAAATGTGTGAATTATGTAAATGTATGTTCTAAAATGTTTAGGTATTGTGTTTTTATGTGTTATCTATTCAACAGTACCATATAGATAAAATTATTTATTATGTTTTAAGTGTTTTTATGATTGTATCTTGTAATTTTAATTATCTTATGAATACAACTGTTCATAATGTATATCCATGTTTTACTGTAGGTGGCAATCTAATAAAATAATATGTTGTTATTTTATATTAATTTAAAATGTTGCTAATAATACAGTAAACACTAAAGTATATTGCCAATATATTATAAAATAATATAGTTTATATAGGTGTAAAACATTAAAATTAAAGGAAGCGTAGTGTTTTCTGAATGTTTTCCTTTTTTGATTTGTGACCTTATAGTTATGTAGACCACATTATTGAATCATATGTAGAATGTACCATGTTGTTTTTTTATCAAAAACAACATATTTAAAAATTAATTTTTATCAAACCGAAGCTTTTTACTATTGTTACAATATGTAAGGGGTTTCTAACATATAACCTTTATATTATCATGTTTTATGCTAAACAATTATAAAAATTACAATTCACCAAACTATTATATTATGTTGTTCACTTTAAAATATTATAAATATTTAACATTATTTATTTTCATGTTTTTGAACTTTAGTTATGTACAAATAAATTTAAATGAAGCCCAAATAAATTTTATATTCTATCTGAATTAGGAATAATGCCAAAATTATGTTTAAATTATTCTTGATGAGTCATTACTCATCAATATTCAATGATGACATATATTATACTGTAATCTGTTGAACATGTATAATGTAGCTAAGTATAATTTAATATTTATTATTTTGATGAAACATAAAAATGCATGTTTATTTTTTTTCAGAAATAGATAACTCAATATATTTAATAGATTGGTCCTATAAAAAATATTACAATAAAAACTTAAATCAATTAATTAAGCAGATAATTAAATTTTTTTCTATATAAGATTAAAATTTAAATAAGTTAATCTACTAATTTGGATTTTCTTAAATATACAACTAAAATTTTATTAAAATAAAAATATTTACAATTATATAGTCTTAAATGCTTATTAGTTCTTACACACAATTTAGTTTTTGTAGAAATTGAATATATATATTTTTTTTAAAGTAGTACCACATTAAATATTATTTTTTCTTTACCATTGATCTTCCACACGACCAAATTTGTAAATCAGAGAAGCAGCAAATATAAAAGCATTCTGAAAAAACAGTTCAAGTCCAACTGTCATATTTGGTTTAACTGAACCTAAAAATTAAAATTAGTGTTTAAAATGTGTACCGAAATATTAACAAATATTAGTATGTAATTAAATATGTCTTACTTTTGGCTGCTACAAAATCAGCAAAAAATATCCAACAAGCAGCAATCAAAGCAGCAAAACCTAATACAAAACCCATAAATAACCAACTACGTGCTCCTCTGGGTCCAAACCATCCTCCTGAGTAAGCTTCTCCTCGAATTTGAGAATTAGATACTACGTTAATCCTGCAAAACATAATTAAAATTTTTACAAATATTTACTATGACAAAAAAAAAAAAAATCTATCAACCTATTATAATTGAAGCCAAAATTACGTAACCATAAAAAAATTTTTTAAAACTAATAATTTGATATTATTACATTGAATAGTATTATTATTTAATAATACAAATCAAATCCAAGTATGGTTAAAAATTGTAATTGTATGTTCAGTTTCAGTACTTTTGTATTTTGGATAACATATTATTTCATGGTAATAAAATAGTCTAGGAACTTTTCTAGTATTATACCAGGCATCCTTTTTCTATAATTGATATTACTTATGTTATTTATTTCTAATATTACACTTTTTTCAGTACGTCAAGTAGATGCTCCTTACACCTACTGGCTACGGTTGCAAAACTCAAAGTCCTAGTTCTAAGGACATCTGAGAGTTGTGTGTGTAAATCTACCATAAAGTGTAACCTAATAGGTGATCTAAATTATAGTTTGACAAGTATAGTTTGTTCTGACTCATTTGTTAACTTCTTTAAAAAAAAAATAAACATTTGAGAGCTGCAAAATAATGCTAAAACATTTGACTTAACTTTATACTATATACTATTTACTTGTTACTTTTTTTGTGATTTAATTATTCTATTAATATTATATAATTTCATCTTGATACCAATCAACTTAGGGACTATTTTATATATTTTTTGAATTTTGGATATGTTTTAAACTATAAGGGTAAGTATATGATTATTTTTAAAATAAGACATTTTTTCTGACCTAATTAATAATTTATATTTTAAGATCTTTAGTTTAAACAGTTAAAAAAAAATTGCAAAATAAATTTATAAATGCCCACTTACATAAACAATGAAAATGTTCCAACCAATCCACATATGTGATAGGTACCGGGTACTTGACTAGGGTTTACAGCCATGCCATCAATTATTAGCCACCATCCGACTGCAAACTGTTAAACAATAATTAGAAATAATTTTTTTTTTTGTCATATTTGTTTTTATTTGTACAATCTGTATAAAAATATAATTACAATAAGCACAATGGAGGGGAAATACAATTATAGGGCATTGGTCATTGGCTTGAAGAAGAAGCTATTCATTAATAGCACTTCGTAACGGAATGGTGGATAATGGATGATGAATTTAATCTCTAAATAATATAAATGACACTAACCAGAAGTCCTGATATCATCCCAGCAACAACATTTCTTTTTTCACTTCCTCCTTCAAACCACAAACAGTTTCCCAAGTTCACGTTATCCATACAGTCCATAGGCATGGTTTAAAATAAAAGCGATACTGTATACTATAAGTTTGAAATTAAAGTAATTTATTTTGTATGAAGAATTTGTAAATTGTTGTTTAATAGTTTCACGCATAAACTAAATACTCAAGAATTTGTTTAAACTACTTGTCAACAACTCGGTGGCTAAGTAAATTTTACTGAAAAGTGGTAAAGTGTATAACAATTAACAATGAACAATGAACAATACACAAATTTCTAATTGCTATACTACCGTAGTACGCTTATGCCTATAGTAGTTATAGTACGCAGATAACATAGGTAGATAGAATAAGATATTATATATTTATATGGCAGATGTCTACCATGACAAATTAGATAGGTATCACAGTATTTTGATACGCATCCTCCGCTGTTTACTTCGCCCTTATCATAGTTCTCCACTTCTTATTGGCTGTCAATCTTATACAATACATAGATAACATAGAACAAAATCAACTTATGAGAAATGGAGAACTACGATATTTGCCGGAGGTGAAGGAGATGCGTATCTACCACGGCTATAGATAATATGGTTGCGGAACGAAACGTGAAAATGTGAAGCTTAAAACGTATATTAGCTTTAACACCAGCACACAGCGCTCTCTGGGTGATAAATTGTATGACTACATTAAAAATTATATTATTCTGTATTTTTGTCATAGTTATTGTTTTTCAATAATAATTATACAGAAGTAAAATACAGTAATACAATAATATTTATGTTTGTATATACGAATATTATAGGTATGCAATAAATAAATAATTCAGGTTTATAGTGCTCGCTCAAGTATTTTTATGTATTAATTAATAATCACACATCAATATTTAGATAAACTATAGTAATAGTAGCTAAACTTAAATATATTATATTAATTTTAAAATTAAATTTAAGAAGTAACCAATTTTGATAATTTTTTTTTTGTTTTATTCAATTGTTTGGCTTCAATATTTTTTGAATAACTGTATTGACGCATTCTCATCGTTATATACATAACAAACATATCTGTGAGTATTTCACTTTTGTGATCATTACAATTCCATGTTAGAAATGAAATATTATTCTGCAACAAATCATTCTGTGTATCTTCAAATACTGTTGGAGAATCCGCATACTTCTCAAAACACAATTCAAATGATTTTATAATTAAGTAAACGTGATGATTAGGGTGTGTTAAATAACCTCTTGTTTTTACATTTACAAAATCTGCAGCTGGGTGTGAAACCTGTCCATATTCTGTGCTCAAACAATTCAAACAGGTTTCACATTTAATGGTTTTTTTCATTCGTTTTACTATGTACCTGATAACAAAGAATAGTAAATATAATGTTATAAAATAATATGCTTCCCCTAACATAATTTAAAATGTGTTCAATCCGCTTAAATTACTACACAAATATAAACTGTTGTATTCACCCTGTCAAGAAGTACACTAAACATTCAAATACTGTGGAATTTGTATTGCAATAATTATGATCTCTAAAAACATCATCAAAATCATAATGCCCATCTTTAACAATAGAATCAATTTTATGTTTTAGCTTGCATATTTTATCTTTTCTTATGGATGTTTCATTTTGTTCTTCTGTAATATTTTTCAAATCCCCAAAAGAAATAACAGGGATATTATCTAAAAGTATATTGTTTGTACTTCTTGTTAATAAAATTTCTAAATATTATTAACTTTTTAATGAAAATCCATAAATACCTTCTAAGATAGTACAATTCCCTGTTTTTGGAGGTTTTACCAGAGAATAAACAGATAACATTCTGTATAATTGCAAGAATGTGGGTGTTGAAGGATGGTCGTTTGGTCCTGCCACTTGCCTTATTATTCCAAAAAATTTCTGAAAATTTTAAAAAATAATTATATAATTTTTATTTATTTCAAATAGGTTAAGTCGGGTTAAGTTATGTAATTAATGTGTAAAATACTTACTTCAACACCATCCTGGTTAGTTTTAGATGTTAGTACATAATCAGAACCACATGAGTGTAAATAGTTAATTATGTCAATTGAAGATTGTATAGTCATTCTAAGCCCTTCTGCTGTGTTTTTAGTTAAAAACTTGTCTTCTGGAATTAGATTATTAGTAACATTTGATTCCCAATTGTCCAACCAAACCAATGCATTTTTCAATACCTAAACAAATACAAATTAATAGTCATACACTCGTATCTATTATGACGTATGAAAAATAGTTCAAAATATTTTAAAGATACTGCCTCCAAGTATTGAAGTATGATGTACACAATAATCATCTAAACAAATTATACAAGTATTAGTTACATAATATAATATAGTTCTAATTATTAGTTATGGACAGTGTTGTAAAGTATTTGAGTAAAAGTATTTGAGTAAAAGTATTCAAATACTTTTTTCCGTATTGAATACTTTTTCAAATACTTTTATTTTTGAAGTATTTGAACGGTATTTTAAATACATTTTTTTACTATTGAATACTATTTTATTGAATACTTTTTTTATTCCTTCAACTTTTTATTCATTGTCAAATAATAATAATGTCTTAATAATATTATAATATATATTTATCATTTATGAACAATTCTATATAGGTTTTAGTTTTCGTCTATTAATAGCTAATTAATATTAGTTAATACTCTGAGAAACCGTCTGTTTATCGTCGACACTCGACGACGATCGGAACGGTACGTTTCGGTACCTACTACCTACCAATATAGTATATTATCATAGCGAAATATAATACGAACATTAGGTAGGTAAGGTATGTCGTATACGTACGTATTTTTTTGTTTTGTATTTGAAAATTATTTCAAATACTTCTAAAAAGTATTTGAGTAATACTCAAATACTTTACAATAGATAGTATTTGGGTGGTATTTTAAATACTTTATTTTATAAGTATTTGAGTAATTACTCAAATACTTTTTAAAAGTATTTTTTACAACACTGGTTATGGATTACTATTAATAGTATCTAAAACATAAAATTAAGTTAGAATAAGAAAATACATGCATAAAGTTCTGATACAATTAATATTGAGTTGAATAAATACATTTTAATGATACTCCCCTGTTTTTAGTTTTTCAAACACAAACATTTATTGTAACCATTGACATGCAACCTAAAAATCCTACATATATGCCTCAAAACCTCTAAATCAGAACTATTTTTTTTAATTCCTTCCCCAGGAAATTTTCTATTTAAAGCATCGAATAAACTATTCATCATCAGAGTAAATTTGATGGTCTCATCACAGTCTTCAAAACCCTCATAGTTTTTACTCTGGTAAAATTGAATTCCAACAGCCATTGATGAACTAAATATCTAAAAAAAAGTAATAATTTTAATATGTGTACCTAACGTTTAAACATTAAAAAATATACCTGTGAAGCATATTTTACTTTCATCTTTGACAAATTGTTTAGTTCTAAATGGTTTGTTGTAATTTTAGGGCAAACTTTAGTTAAACTTTTTGAATCATGAAAAAATACATTTTCATATGTACTCCATTTAATTAAAGATTTGTTGGGATGAATCTAAAAAAGAAAATAATATAGTTATAAATATACACAAGCTTATGAGTTATGTTTTTATACTTATTGAAATTTGATATAAACTTATTGATTTACTTGTAATGATTTTTTTGTGTATAATCTGTTTCTAACAGTTTTTATCAAGTGTGGAGCATCAGAAAAAACAAAAACTTTTCGGTTGCCATCAAACGGATTTTCAAATGAATTTTTGAAAGTTTTCTGTTTGGCACTTATACCTAGTGCACTCCACATTGTACGATTTGTAGAGGCCCCATCGCTAGTGATGCCAATCACTTGAATACCAGAATTTTCCAATAACAAAATGGCTTTTAATATAATTTTAGCTAAATCAATTCCTGTAACAAATATTACTATAATATACATTTTCTTGTATAATTACAACTTAAAATTACCTTTCACAGGTCCCTTGGAAGCAAATACTGCAATAGGCTGTTGAATATTATCTGCTAAACTTTGCACCATCAAAACCAGTGCATGATTAGCTTTTTCGGTTGCTCTGGTTTCAAATCCTTCTCCAAAGTCTTCCAAGCCAATGTAGGTCAGTGTTCTTGTATTGACTGAAATACTCTCTCTTAGGAAAATTTCATCAAATACAAGAATCATTTTCCTTTGGAACTCTGTTTTATTTGCAAACTTTTTCTTTAATAATTTAAAAAAATCTGGGTCAAATCCACAACCTATCTTAATGGCCAACAAATAATTACGTAGAGTTTTTGTACAAGGTAGTGGTAGTATTTTTTGCTCTCTAAGATATTTATAGCCACTTGGTGAGCTATAATGAAACATTAAAAAACATAATTTTGTTAATTGTGAAGTTATTATATAAAAAAACTAATATATTCTAACCTTACCGTATCTGAAACAACAAACATAAAAGTGTCCAATTTTCACTATAACATCTGTTTTTAGAATTTTTAACTTTAGCCGCCAAAAATATCTCTTTAATCAATTCACATTGGCCTTTTGGTATCATCGAGTTTTCTAATAACTCATCAAGTGTTTTTTCACAAAAAGAGTTCATTTCATCTTTTATTTTATTTAATTCAATTTGTAGACGCAAAATTGTTTTACGAGCTCTAGAACATCTTTGCTGCATATTTTTCTTAATCGATTTTATTTTTGAAAGTACTTTTTTTTTATTTGGAGAAAAAAATGGTTTTGTAGATAATCCTTTGGTGTGTTTGGTAAGTTTATTATTTATAGAAAAAGTTAGTCTTTTACACCATATGCATAATTTTCTGGAATAAATAAACAAATTGTTATATTATGTTAATGCACATTTGTATTAGCAAAACATTACTCATTATCCTTCAGAATTGTTAAACAGTTCTTATGCTTCCACCGACCATTGACCTCAATGTATTGGGAACCAAATGAAGACTTAATATCATTAACTTTAATCGAGGAAACAGCTCCATAACAACATTTTATTTTTTCAAGGATATTTAGTAAATTATCTATATCCTTAATATTCTTAATATGTGAATTGTCCAGGCCTATTTCTGATAATTTGAATTCTTTTCCATTAAGATGTAGTAATATATTTGAATCTAATTAAATTTATAACTAGTTATTAAGTATCTCAAATACAATAAAATATAAATAAGTATAGTATTAATTTATATAACCTTTAGTTATAACTATTCTTTTTTCAATTATCCCTGTAAAATGTAATTGCAATGGGCTAAGTTTATGAATTGATACTACCATCTCAGTTTTATTTTCGTATACTTCCATAATATCAACAAACCAATGATTAGGCAAATTAATCAAGCACTTATTCCTCAATACATTTGTATATAAGTCTATTTCAATCTGTTAATTTTTAAATTAAATGTTATTATTTAAAGGTATAGGTAATATATTTTAAAATAAATCAATATTGAAACTTAATAGGTACCTACTTAATGTTATCAAATTATCTAATACTTTATTTACCTTTCTTCTTTTGGTTTGAATTTGGTAGTTTTCATCCTTCTCAAATACTGATGGAACTGCTCCATCCAAAAGTTTAGGAACTTTAAGACATATCTAAATCACAATTTATCATTTATTGAAAAATGGTTATAAATTATAATTAAGGTACAATGAAATAAATAATAATATATTCTTACTCTGTATTTATTTTCGCCTTCGCCGGATTCCCAAGTAGACTTAATATCGCTTTTCTTAAAGTGTGAAGCACAAACTCTGTAACTTTTTTTAAGTACAGTTTTTAATGCATTTTCCCATTTATTTCTTTCCTCTATGCTTTTAGGGACCCCAAAAGTTGTTTTTGAAGCTTCATGTGGATATTTCACACAACAATTAACCATACTGAAATTTTTTTATTAAACTTTGTTATTTTGACGTAGAGCACAGGAAATAAATTCTAAATCAAAATAATAATGTTTCAATTCGTGTTGAACACGTCAATTTACGCGGGAAAGCAAACTGTGTACAACAAAAATAAAAATACTTTAATAGTTTTATCATATTTATTCAATGGATATATACAGTGGCTATTTTTCAATAGGGATTAGGGGGGGGGGGGGTTGACAATTAATTACAATTTTATTTTTATTTTGTCCATTCTAATAATTTAAGACGTTTAGGTGAGGACATTTTGACAAAACCACAGTTAATTTGTAGTTAAAAACTTCATTAATATATTTTTTTAAAGTAATAATTATACGGAAATGGGGGGGTTTTAGCCCGTTTTAGCCCCCCTGTGAACGCCACTGGATATATACTTAAATTATAATATAGTATGTCATATATAGTCTGCATTTTAATATTATATTATATAGCCATGGCCGTGGTTTGCAATTCTGCATAATATAGACGTGGTACAATAATTATTAGTTCTATCAAATACCGTAGATGGCGCGACAGGCTCGTAATTTTAGTCACGTGACTTTTCAATAACATTCCAGCTCGGTGTAATGCGTTGTTTAGTATAGGCCGTTCCGCAACCATATTATCTATAGCCGTGGTATCTACTACGCAAGACAAGTACAAATGTGATGCTACCTATCTAATTTGTCATGATATCTACCACGATTTAAGCCAAGGTTTATAGATATCGTGATATCTACATAATTATAATATTTTATTGTTCATAAAATTATTTTATTATCTCGTGTGATATTGTGATACCACAGATAATAGCACGGACTAAGATATACAGGACTGGACACGACAAGGTTGGAGGGTGTGGGGGGGTTGACTACGAAATGTTTTACAACAGGCAGTGTTCGGGGGGATATTTTCCTTTTAGCATTACTAGCGCCGTCCTAGTGGATACTTATGGAACTAGAACACATCATACAAATTTCTAGTTCCATAAGTATCCACTAAGACGGCGCTAGTAATGCTAAAAGGAAAATATCCCCCCGAACTCCGCCTGTTGTAAAACATTTCGTAACCACAATATTCATCTCGTGTCCAGTCCTGTATATCTTAGTCCGTGGATAATAGCACGGACTAAGATATACCTTAGTATATCCGGGTCGGGGGCAGTTGTCCGAAAAATGATAAAGACCCGGATCGAAAGACGGCGGCATAAAATGTATTGCCAACATTGAATTTCTAAAAATTATATTATACAATTATATTTTTGTTTGTGGGGTTTCACTGTTCCACTGAATGATAATTATGGATCACTACTAATCGTACAGTGATGCGGTGCTAGCGGCACTCGTCGCTACGCTCCTCGGCGCCGTCGCTCCGCTCCGCAAATCGAAAATATCCCCCGACTTGCTGTGCAACACCTCCCCAAGTGGGTCACAGGGTTAAGAAAATTGTTTTGTGGAAAATTGTTTTGTGGAACAAATAGTACTTAAAAAAAAATAATTTTTGTTCCAAAAAAAATATTATTAAGATCCACAAATAATTTGTTCCAATTACTATTTGATCCGCAACATATTTGTTCCAATAATTATTTGTTCCACGAAATATCATATCATAGTATAACTTTTATCAACAGAAATAATAATAATAATAATAATAATTTATATTACAACATTTCGATTACAATGGTTGGCAGTACTTTTTCGATTTTCGATTTTCGGGTCCTTATCATTTTTCGGACAACTGCCGATGCCCCAGTATATCCACAGATTATATGAAAACAGATTGTGCACTTAGATGTAAACAAAAAATGGCCTGATTCTGGTCTCCGCCAGAATCAATGTGACCATTTCAACAGATTGAAATTACTTGAAATGTATCATATACTTGTGGCTTACCTGATAGTGTTATCCGAGTATCCGACAAACAAAACATATTGTTATCAACACTCTGATACTTTATACCTGATAGTCTGATGTTTGGTTTTCACTTTTCACGTGTTTTTGGCGTTTGACGTTTTACGATTTTTGGTGTTTGCTTAAATAAAATAGTTTTTTTTTTGTAATATTTTATATTTATACTGTCATATTTATTTTAAAAAATGACTACTTGTGCAGTCAAGTTTTGCGACAATAAAATGTCACTAACGAAAAATATAAGCTACTTCAGATTTCCAAGCGACCCATTGAGGTGAGTAATTAGGTTTGTTTTATGATTTTCATTTGTATGCATTACAATTTGTTACGTTACTAATTTATTATAGGTGTAAACAATGGATGGAAAAATGTCAAACTGAACATTTACTGAAAAAAGATGCTACTATTTTATACAAAAATTACAGGGTGTGTGGTGTTCATTTTGAAGACAAAATGTTTTTAAATCCAAATAGTAGGAACCGTCTTACAATGAATGCTGTGCCAACCATATTTAGTGGTAAGATTTTGTTTATTATAATTAATATTTTTAAGACTAAATGAAACTATTCTAATTTGCTTTTGCTTTGCTTTTGCTGCGGCTACACGGCTGAGAGATGCATATTGATAGTTCAACCACCAAGATTCTTCTCAGGAAATGATCTATTGTTGTACTCCAGAGTCCTGAGGATATCCAATGAATTACAGATTTTGAATTAAGTTTATTTACATTAATTTAATTATTACCTATATATTATATTTCTTCTTTTAAAGTAAGATTTTTACTCTGTGAAATTTTTAAAATTTATTTAATAAAATTGTTTTATTCCATTATCAAAATATCAAATGTTATTAATTTTTTTCAATGCATATGCTTATGCCATGCAAATAAATTAACTACTTTAATATGAATTTATAAATATTATTAGCTGGAATATTAATGAAGAGAGAAATGGAAAAGAAATCAGAAGAAGAAAAGGAAAAGAAATTGGAAGAAGAAAAGCAAATGCGAGAATTTGAGGCACAGGTCGCGATGGCATCATGTTCTACTCCACCACACTCATTAACTTACAATGATAATGCATATACCAATGTCAGTGACGTATCTGGTTCCTCTTCCATTTCTAGTAAGCTACAAGTGTCTACTAGTGATTCATCTTGCCAAACTCCACTTTATCTCACTAACAAAACTCCAAGAAAATTAAAACTATATAATGAACTTCAGTCCAAAAATAAAGAAATTAAAGATATGAAAAAACAAATTAATGCCATAACTCAACAATTAGCAAATGTTAATACTGTTGAACAAATGTTAACTTTAACTAAGCAATTTTTACCTCCTGGTTTATTTTTAATTATAAGTACACATATTAATCGTAGAAATACAAAAGCAACTGGGTATAGGTATTCCAATGAATTTAAACAGTTAGCTCTAACAATTTATTTTTTGGGACCAAAGGTATATAGATTTTTGCAATCAACTCTTGCTCTGCCTAATCCATGTACACTAAGACGCATAACAAAACATTATGAAATAAATCCTGGTCTTAATGATTCATTATTTAATTTTTTACAATTTAAAACACAACATTTTTCACCTGAATCATTAGAATGTGTGTTGTGCGCAGATGAAATGGCAATAAAAAGTAATTTGTTTTATAACATAAGTAAGGATGAAATAATAGGGTTTAATGAAACAAACAATCGTAAAACGTATGATCCAGCAAAGTTTGTACTTGTCTTGTTGGTTCAAGGCATAAATTTCAATTGGAAGCAACCGATTGCTTATTTTTTTATATCAAACAGTTGTACAGGTTTTGATTTGCAGGACATAATTTTAACCAGTATTTTTAAACTAGAAAATATTAAAATTAATGTTAAAGCATTTGTTAGTGATATGGGTTCCAATTTCATAGGCCTCTCAAATAAACTTCAAGTTAGTCCTGAGCGGCCATATTTTGAAATTAATAATAAAAATATAGTGTATATATTTGATCCACCACATCTTTTAAAAGCCACCAGAAATATGTTTTATCAACATAATTTTAAGTATGATAATGAATTAATTGAAAAAAAACATTTGGTTTCATTCTATAATGAAGATAGTAAAAATAATCTTCGCGCTGCTCCTAAAATTACATACTCTCATATATTTCCTGGGCCTTTTGAAAAAATGCGCGTATATTTAGCAGCACAGGTGTTTAGTGAGAGTGTCTCAGCTGGAATGCTACTTTTCTTAAACTCAAGCCACTTACCTGATACTTCATTGCCTACAATCAACTTTATTCAAAATATGGATAAACTTTTTGACATATTTAATTCTTCTAGACGACCTGGCTTAAAACAATTTAATAGACCTTTTAAAAATACTGATTCGCAAATTTCACATTTAAAATTTATGGAAAACTTTTTTAAAACATTACAAGTATTTAACAAAAAAACAAATGTTGAAGTGACAAACCAAATGAAATTTATTAGAGGTTGGTTAATTTCAATCTCTGGTTTATTTCAATTGTGGGAATCATTAAAAGTTACCAATACTGATGAGAGTTATGTTCTGTATACAAGTCGAATCAATCAAGATAGGTTGGAAAATTTATTTGGCACGTTTCGTACCCAACATAACGGAAATAATATTAATCCAACCCCAATACAATTTATCTGGTCATATAAACAAAATTTTTGTCTCAATTATTTCACCCACTCTGACAATGCAAATTGCATAGGAGACTTGGATGAAATTTTATCTAAAATTAATACAGATCCCTTAAATGACGAAAACATAAAAATAATATTTCATGATAAAAATCCATTTCAATTTAAAAAAAATATACTTGCAATAGACACCCCAGATTATAGGAATTTATCGATGCCAGAAAAAAATGCTTTCATATATGTTTGTGGATTTCTAATGAAGAAATGCATTGAAAAACACTCTTGTGATATTTGTATTCAATATGCAAAATCACAAAACAAATTGGATGAGTCCTTTTTACTTTGCTATTTCAAAGCATATGAGAATGCAGAAAAAACAATGTTTGGCAACTTAATGATGCCACAACATGCATTTTATAATTATATTGATGAATTGGAAAACATATTTATAAATAGATTTCCACACATAGCTATTAACAAAGAAGTAGGTATTAAGTTAAAATTAAGCATGATTAATGTTGTATTTAGTCATCCATGTCCTCTTTTTAGTAAAGATTATTTAATTAATTATTTTATTAGATTTAGAATTCATGCTGCAATTAAATTTTTAAATAGGAATTTAATATCAGAAAAAATAAAAAAAAATAGAAAATTATGTATACTAAATCATTTATGAATAAATTAGAAAGTATTTAGTATTAATAAGTAATCTAGGTAATTGTATAAACATTTTGTACTCCATCAATTCTGTATGTTTATAATAAATGTATAATATGTATTTAATTTTAATTGTTAATATTATATTGTTTGAAATTGTGAAAAATTTAAATAAATATTTGTTTGTAAATAACAATTTGCATATTTTATTTCTATATTACTTTTACCTAAGTATAATATTTTGAGTATTGAGTTGAAATTGAAAAGTTTACTAAGCAAAATCAAATTTCTATAATATGGTATGTATGTATGTTCAATAATTTAGCATTGGTATTTGTGATCACACTGATTTGGGCGGAGACCAATCACAGCACCGTATTCATTTTTTACATTGCAGCATAGGAAGTGCACAATCTGTTTTCATATAATCTGTGGTATATCTTAGTCCGTGGATAATAGTAATAGCCACGATCATAAACATTAGAGGAAGGACGCCGAACTGTGTATATAAAAGTGGTCCGGAATTATCGCATTCCGCCAGAATGCGCGTCGGACCGTAATGATGTCGTTTTTACATGTACAGCATAGGGAATTTATTGGTTTTTTAATATTATATTCTAAATGGTGTAACTTATGAATAATTACTATAGAACATTTTTTTAAAACCAAATTGCCCTCGATCGAATATATGTGTTTCCAATAATATACGACTTTTATAAAAAAAGATATAGTTGTTGTCTCTATGTAAAAACGACATCATTACGGTCCGACGCGCATTCTGGCGGAATGCGATAATTCCGGACCATGTTTTTACGCTTCGTTCTGCTGTGTTCGGCGTCCTTCCTCTAATGTTCATGGCCACGATTAAAGATATACAGGAAATGACTACCAATAATTAACCAGTGGCGCTCCAAGCGGCAGTATTACAATTAACCAATTATAGATATATAGGTGTAAAATTAGTTCTAAATGTCGACACATATGGTTGAGTGCATAGACCTATTAACTAGTTAATAGGTCTATGGTTGAGTGTTGACATTAAGCGCCACTAGTTAATTATTAACAGCTGATTTTTATAGTCACTTTGTAAATCAGTCTGGAAGCGGTTTACTATAGGGCGATGTACAACCTGTATATCTTTAATCGTGGTAATAGCATAGAACAATATGGTAATAGTCATGAACTAAGGTATAGCATATGGTTCTATGGTAATAGTTCGTGGTAATTTTACTGCGGGTTATGATGCCAGCAGCTTCTGGTGATGCCATAAATCCTACAGTGGTAGTATTGTTCTGTGTCTATACTAATATTATATTGTTCTATGGTTATACTATGATATATTATATTATATAATATCTGTGTATTATATATCTTCTCTATGGAATACAGTATGCTACATGGAATCGGTAAAAATCGCTTATTTTGGAATACCTTCATCTATAAATAATATATCTTTAATCGTGGTACTAACGGGCCTTATCAGTGATTTTAAGCGCATATCCATCAGAAAATCGGGTTTTAATTATGATTGAAACTACGATGTTCCGATGCATCAACGCATTCGATGCGCTGAATTTCAGAACGCTATAGCACAGAGCCACAGAATAAAGCTATAGCTTGAAAATACGATGCATTTTAGAACATTTTTTATCATGTCGATTGCATAATGTATCCACATTCCACAGCGTCGCATTACCGAAGGCGCAATTAGCCTTTCTGATTATAATATCAATTAATATCTATTAGGTATGTGATAATATGGGTACCAGGGTACTCCGCCCTGTCATCTATGCTTAGATCATACGCGGTATGTTATATGAGTATTCTATGCTAGCCGCTAGGCGATCATAACCTAACCATAATATGACTGAGAGAAAAAAAATCATTAAGTACTAAGTAGTGAAGGTGCCCACATAAGAAACTGTATAAATTTTACAATTTTAGTGTTTTGTTACTTTTCTCGCTCACACCCCAGATTTCTCACTCTTATTAGCTGTCCATTAGTTTACACTGTTTACAGGAATCCCGGAATAAAAATCCCCCGGAAAAAAAATACCCGGAAAAAAAATCCCCAGACTACAATATTACTCACAACCTCTTGCAAATGGTTGAACAAATATTTTTTAAACGTTAATTAGTATCTATAATTAATATTTAATTACAAATACGTATATTATATTCTATTATAATATATTATAAATAATATTTTGTTTTAAATTACGATAATATTATATTATGTGTAATTCAAATTAAATAACTAACTTTACCTTATATTATATATTATCAAAGGTACATACTAAACCGCTTATCGTCAAAATGTCACAGAAAACGCAATATTTTATTTCGGGAATTCAATTTTTACAGAATTATACCTACATAAAATATATAGGTACCTATATTTTGTATAATATTTTTGTATACTATGTTTTTAACTGTATTATTAATTGACGTATCGATCATTATAAATATTTTTATAATTTTTTTAACAATATAATATAATATACGTATTTGTCATTAAATATTAATTATAGATACTAATTAACGTTCAAAATATATTTGTTCAACCATTTGCATGTGATTGTCAGTAAAATTGTAGCTGGGGATTTTTTTTCCTATGGTCGGGGATTTTTTTTCCGGGGATTTTTTTTACGGGGGATTTTTTTTCCGATTACCGTTTACAGCACGAATTAAGATATTATTGACTCACGAGGATCTAATTGACCACAGGGGATGCTGTTGATCACAGGGGATCTAGTAGGACGGGGATCTATGTGATACGTCCCCGTCTAATATACATGGATTTATTGTTCAATGGATTTATAGGTTCTTTTAATTCTAACCTCTTTGGATTTATTTCATCACTGATCTGAAAGTTGGCGGTTAATCTTGGCCAGATAACAGTATGACAATGGTTCAATTGCTTAATTTGAACCATGGACTAAGACAGTAAGACCATTGTTGCATTTCATTTTGTCCTTCTAGTATTTAACGTATCACTTCACGTTTACGTTTATGCTCGACGCTTGTGCGCTGTGGCTGTCGACAGTCCATTAGATTCACGTTACAGCGGAAATACCAATTACCATAGTCCGGCAGTCGACAACTTGACAAACATAACGATTTTAACGGGTAAGAATAACGACAAAATAGTGCAATAATCAAATGTTCAATATTGCTCATAACAATACTCAAATATTCAATAGTACAATATTGAATACAATATAATATTATTATGATACGTCTATAACCTATGCTGATTAAACTATCTTATTTGATTTTTTTAATGTGCTTCCGTTGTGTTTAATGACTAATATTGTGACATTAGGTCCACCGTAAATATGATTTTTTTAGTGGTAATCGGTCGATTTACCTATGTTGATAGTAATATTATGACGTCAATTGCATGAATTGATTGTGCCATTTTGTAATCGAGCCACCCAATCTTACTGTACCTACTATTAATTTCAATTTCAGTAATACTCCAAAATGTCTATCAAACATACTGATGAACCTATGGAAAAGCAGCCTAGTTACATTTTCAACTCTTATGTCAAACTTACACGATTATCAAAAGAGGATATAGAGCAGAATACGGGCCAGTGAGTATAACTTTCCAAAACATATTCATGGGTACCTTTTTTTTTTTTTCAGTTAGTAACCGACGGCGCCGCGGGAATTGCTTTCGCATTACTTCCGCGGCGCAGTTCATAGTAACCTAATTATGTGTACCTAATTTGTAAACTTTTTTTTTATCATTATGTTGATTTAGTAATCATAAAAAGGAGACTACGTCAACATTATTGAATCAGTGGAATACTCCTAATCAATTAATAAAACAAGAATATGTAGAAGATACTAATATGGAGATCTATGAGTATGTTAATATTGAAATATCATTTTTACACCGTCTTTACTATTCAAACAGAACATTATTTACTGTACAAATAATGGGCTTTAAAAGGGGACTTGATGCCCCCGAATCAAGTCCTTAATCAAGAAGTTACTACATTTATAATTTGAAAACTGGAAATCAATAACGGGTTAAGTGCCAAAAAGTTTTTTTTTAGTTATTCAATTTTTGCCCGTTATAACCACACCCATCACATAGCTCTCATGACATTTGTTTGGCCTTTTAACACCAATATTATGGTCGTGGCACATTAACTCAATTTTTATTTTTGCACAGCCCGTTATTGATTTCCAGTCTTCATTTTGTTTACAGTTTAGAAGTAAACCTAAAAGCCTAACTAATATTCCACACTTTGAGAGAGATAATATACCTAATATATATCATAGACCCAAATAATATTGTAAATACATTATCTAAAAATCATTTTGTATTATATTTGTGTGGGTGGAGAAGGGGCTAATATTTGTTTGTCTGTATTACAAGGGATTTTAGTCCCCCTAAACAATTTGAACTGTTTGCATCGATCACATTAATCAACACCAATTCAATTTTTCAAAAATTATACTATTGAACCTTAACTATTTCTCATGAATTGAAATCATCAACATAAAAGGTGGACAATTAGGTACCACTGATTTACATTTGAAGTTAAGGAAGGTGACTGTAATTTATGCGTTAAATTTGAATTTAATGATATAAAAATTCAGTATAAAATCCCTGAATAAAATCAATGATTCTGAGTTAAGACTGTCAGCCTATATTACTATGTATATTTTATGATATTATTGCTTTAGTTGACACCCGATCAAAAACTCGTATTTTTGATGTTCTAATAATCCTACTGTATTTATAGTTTATACATTTAAAATTAAAATAATGAATACAAAAGTACTTTAACCCGTCAGTGGTCGCGATGTGAGCGCGGCGCTCACCTCGTTAGTATTTTGAGAGCCATTTGTTTATTTATTACTTGATTCATCTGATACTATTTATACCTTCAATCGACACATATTTAAGTATACTTTTGCAAATATAAAAATTGTATAAATAATTCTTGATTAGATATCGACATGCAATGTTGTTAATATCCATAAATTCAGCGTTTCACTCATTCAATAGGTCAACCAAATACTTTTTCGTAAACTCAGACCTATTTTTAAGTAGCACCCAACATTTATATGTGTACTGTATAATAATCAGCAAAATATTCCAGACCACTAAGGCGAAGATGAATGATAATGATTATCTTATTATATAATTATGTATAAAAAATTATAAATTAATTTTTAGTGGTTAACAATTTATAATCGAGAAAAATTGTAAGAACATTTTTTGTAAAAGATTTAAAAATAAATAATTCGTTGTTGGTTTCAATATTTTATGTTCATTATATAATATATAATGATGAAAAAACAACAAGGTGAGCGCAACGCTCACTCAATACCAATGGCGGGACTTTACATAGCGATACCAACGACGGGTTAATTCATTAATAGTTAAATCAATGTGGAAATCCAACAAAATAATTAAATTATTTTTTTGTATTTGTTTACCTAATGGTCCACAATTTAATTATAACAATCAAATTCATTATTAGAATATAATTAGTTACCCACACATATAATATCAAATGTTCTTCAATTCAGCAGTAATTCTATGAATGAAAAATATAATATTAAGTAACTAATAACTATTAAATAATAATGATTAAGAATACCCTCAAGTGTTGTCTCCTTCTTACACATGTACGATATAGACAAAACCTGTTTACACGGCCTGCTTAGAACTCTCTCAATTTTGGTTTTAGAGCAAAAATACCTTTCTGAAGACAAGTTGTTGCGTTTTTTCCATTATACCCAATTTAATAAATTTCATTATATCGTTTAGAAATATAAAAAATGAAAATACCTTTTACTTTTCAAAATTAAAATTTTATAAAAAAAAACACAACAACTTGACCTTATGAATACCTGATTGTTTATATTTTAATCATATTACCTGATATTGTTTTTGTTTTGTTTTTTTTTTATACTTATTAGAACCAAAGTAGAACATACTTCATGGCAATCTACGGTGCAGGCATTTGGGATTAATGTTAAAATTGAACCTACTGATGTAGTTGAAGTAAAAACTGAGCAAGAGAACAGAATTAGAACTATAACTGAGGATAGTACTGCATTTTCAAACTACATGGAAAATGTTAACCAAAATGAATTTATTTGCCAAATATGCCATGATAATTTTGATAATTATGAAGACTATATAGTCCATAAACATTTAATACATAAAAGTAAACCTTTCGTATGTAAAGTTTGCAATGCAACATTTGTTCTTAATGCTCATTTGAATATACATCTGGCTGAACATGTTGATATAGTATGCATGTTAAATTCATCTGTAAGTCCTTCAGAAATCCAGTCTTCATCTAAAAGTAATTTGACAATAAATCCAAGTAGAAATTACAAGAACTCTAAATTAACCTCAAAATTGGCAAAAAAATACCGCAATACTAGTATTTCAATAAATGAATCAAACAATTTTACACACAACTTAAGTGTAACTGATCCCAACACAACTTTACAAAAAAACAAATACAAGGCATTTAAGTGTGTAAATTGTGTGTTTGCAACAGGGTCTGAAACTGAATTTCTTAATCATCATGATGTTTGTAATAATATTTCAAAGGGTAGCTCCAAGTTCTTTAAATGTAATTTGTGTATTAAAACATTCACTACTCGTTCAGGATTAAATGGTCATTTGAAATATCATACTTTTAGAAGTGAAATGATTTCAAGGAGACAACTGGCATTAAACAAGCAGAAATTGAAAATTCAAATCACAAATAGTAGTGTAAAATCTCAAAAATATGTTTTTCCAAAGATCGCAAATTTTAACAGGAGTCATAAGTGTAAAGATTGCAATAAACATTTCACTACACGCAGCAAATTAAATATTCATTATAAGCAACACAGACAACAAATGATATGCAATATGTGTCATAAAAAATTTCTTTTAAAAAAGAACTTTGAAAAACATTTACTATCACACACAAATGGCGTAATTTCAAATGGTGTTTCTAATGACACTTCATTTAATGAAAGTAATTCACTACAAAACCAAAATGCAATTAAGAGCACAGGCAACAAAAGTGAAAATCAAATTATTTCAAAACATGACAAATTGTTTCATTGTTCCTATTGCAATAATAGTTACAAATCAAAACAATCTCTTAGCCAACACAATAGACAGCATCATTCTCGTTTTAAACTCCCCCGTCGGAAGTTAAAATCAAAAACTGTTGAATGCAATTGGTGTAGTTTAGTAATAACAAAATGTAACTTACTTCGTCATATTAAATCTTTGCATCCTAACATTAATCCTATAAAATGTTTACACTGTCCAATGGCATTTAAGGATTCTCCTTCATTAAAATTCCATGTGTCTAGATGCCATACAGCTTAAGTTTCATACTTAGTTTGTAATATGCTTCTAAATTTTAATTAATTCAATCATCTTAAATAGGTAAGATGCATTGAATTATTGTACAATGTGGACTAATTTTTTAGAATATTTTTATACCTGTACTTTTTCCTTTGCATTATTTTTTAATCTCTCCATTTAAAAATTATATAAGTCTACTTATAATGAATTAGCTTTACTACCTTATTGTAAAACTTAAGTTATATTTCTATTCTAATTTTTATTTATAATTAAGTTATTTTTTCCATTATTGTATTGTAACATGAAGATCTGGCAGAAATAACAAGAAGTTTCCAATTAAAATATTTTTTAGGACACACTTAAAAGCTATCTGGAAATGTAAAGTAGTTACATCAAAAAATAAACCAGACATCTCCATTTTTATAATATATCAGTATCTATACTCTTTTCAGAATAAGAAAGAACCAGGCGGCCACGGACAAAACCGGTTTTGTTACGTAAATCTAGTGCGTTCTTATTCTGAAAAGAGTATAATGATCAGATATTATATATTTTGATAGTTGCACAAATCGGCATAATTATAAATTATTTTTTTAAATTATACATTTCCAGATACATGGTAGAATGTCTATTAATGATTATTTAATTTTGTATACATTTATTTGTATTTTTATTTTTACATTTATGTAAAATAATATGCTAGCACAACAATTATCGGTATTCCAATGTTTCCTCAGCGGGTTTTTTAGTGGTACTTGTGTTTCTGTCCGTGAACAATCTTAGTAAAGTAAAAATAATATTAGTTAAGTCAAATTATCCAATTTTTTTAATTTTTATTATTTAATATTTATACTAGTACCTAAATTGTGTATAATACAATATTTGATTTTGATTATGAATATTGATAAAAAAAAAATATTGATTTGTATATCTAATAAAAGCCACCATACATTGGTATATGGATTTGTATATTGTTTGATATTTTTACTTTTAATTTTTGGCCAGTGGTGGCATGAGGTATCGTCCATTTGTGGGGTGGGGGGACATTCTAGATTTATGCTTATAAATGGGTCTTATTTGTATAGTCATGGTTGGGTTCCTTGGTGATTGCTTAATAAACTGGAGTCAGACCAATTAAGATAGTTCTATAAATAATTGTAATTTTTATATTGTGTTATAATATATTATATCAACTAAAAAGAAAGTATTCTATTATAGGTAAGTAGTTGATTAATGATTTAAGCAATATCAAAAATACAATTTTTGTCTTATTGGTTTTTATTTAATTCTTTGCAGTAGTTAATCATTTATTTTTGTTATATTTTACAAGTTTGTTACACTGACCTACAAATTATATTATTCTTTTTATCGACAAATTACAAAACCAATAAAATATTATTACTACTACTATTTATTATACCACCTGCTCCGGGGATGGTAGACATTTTATTGTGTTCTAATTAGTCAATGATAAAATGAATAAATAATCACGTCTTATATTGCATTATTATTCTCTATTCTGTGATTAGATTTTTATGTTATTTTGAGACAAGTGAAAATTTTATTATTGACGAGTGATGACATTATTATTTATTGCTGGTAAACCCTAAACCTCCTTAGACATATCAGCAGTTCCTAACCCATGGCCAGTGTAATGGCACAGATTAAATAAAACAGTTTTATTTTATCTTTGGAAATAGTAGCGACTCATCAAAGGTCTAAGCCAGGTGTATTTTTTATATACCTATATATTTAGTTAGTACATTTTTTTAACAAAATTTGTGGTCTGTGCAACTAAATATGTTTTGGACCATATTTATAAGACGATATAAAATTGTCGAGTTTTTAATTATTAAATAATAATATGTACAAAACAAATTTAAAAAAAAGCAGGTGAGTGGATGTCATTCTGCTGCTGTACAGTAGGTTACAAGTGGGTCAATGTATAATGGATTGTATTAAACTTGAACTCAATGATGTAATATATCATTGTATAAGAAAAACGATTCTGAGCGAAGACGGTTTGTCAGTCTGGATTTTTTATATTGTTATTATTTATTATAGCCTGTCAGTTGAATTAATAATGAAATACTTTTATTTTTTATTTTTTTCTATGGTGATAGACAAAGTGTTAGAAATTAAAATCCCATTTTTTAGCGGTTTTTCGTAATTTTTTGGTGGTTTTTACAGTGGCATTAATTAACTATTGAGAAAATCAAAAAATTACCTCTCTAAGATAGTAATCTTGATCCAATTTTCTAAAAGATAAGTTACTATATGTCTATACATGTTGAAATCCAAGCACTCCTTCTGGAAGAAATTTTGTATACGGGAAAAAAAATAAACACCATTGTAGAACCAATAGATCCCTCAGAATCGAATATATAGTTATATGTTATACCTTTTATACAAATATTTCCTTAATTACATTAGGTACCTACTTCATTCATAGTTGATCTTAGATAGCTTTTCAACCTTAAAAAGTTTGAAAAAGATCTCTCTGGAGTGGTTGTAGATACTGGCAATGTACAAAACTACAAAATATTTGAATTAAAAAATGAATTTGGTATTTTTCAACCATTTCCGGTACCCAACTGATAAAAATAATCACGATATTTATTGAAAATATTGATATAACTATATAGCTTCGAACATTTTCTATACAATCCGTAAAATCGTATGATAAAATTTGTTTTTTAATCATGTAAAAACTGCACAACATTTAACATGTACGAGACACGAGTCAATGGGAGAGGTCCAGACCCCATGGACCCCCCCCCCCCCCGTAAATACGCCACTGATTCAATTATCTGTGTTTTAAGTCCTACATTTTATATCAACACTGAAAAATTCGAATATGCTAAATGTCTATAAATAGCTCAAAAAGAGACAAAATATAGTTTGGAAGTTTCTACGGTTAATTCGTTCTTGGTTTACAACAAATTAACAAAATCACTCGTTTTTCCCTCTATTTTTTTGATGTTTTCCCTAACTATTGAGCTATAGGTACTGCTGGTACTGGGAATTTTTTACTTTTTACCCCCAAGTACCAACTAGATTTACTTTCGTATCAGAAGTGATATTGAGATTGAAGTACTTTTACCACTTCAAAAGGTGATTACTGACAAAAAAATAAAAATAAAACATCATCTGCGCTCAGAATCTAAAATTCAATCTCACAGATTGTACGTTTTCAATGTAAATTTTTTTTAAATAAGAATATTATTCAGAAAGCGGAAAGATTAAATTTTACAACTTTTTATACACGCCATTGAAGAATTTAAGTTTTAATGAAATGAAATAAAAAAACAACTTGAAAAAAATGCAAAAAATTTGGCCCGTACCCCTGGTGGGACTCGAACCCACAATCCCCGGTTTAGGAGACCGATGCCTTATCCATTAGGCCACAGGGGCTGGTGCGTGAATTCAATGAATTGGTAGAATTTAAGCCAATCGTAAACAATAGTAATCGTTTTAATACGTATTTTTGTAGGTAAATATGTGCAAAATCGTAATATTATGTTGTAAACTCGTAAATCATAATAGTTTTGTTATAAATTATAATTAAAAAGTCTTAATATAGTGATGTATTAAATTGTATTATTGTACTGTAATATAAATATTAAGTAAGTAGGTACTTTAATACTGTACAGATCGGATGAACCTTATATACCATTGAATATTGATTATTTATAAATACGAACAATTGGTCGTAGCCTCGTAGGCAAGTCTTTATTATCTATGTTTCTGACAGATTAATTAAATCATCATTCATCAGTCCATACTCCATATTAATAAATACAGTTTCGATACCGGGAATCGGGATTCGTTTGAGAAAAGAAAAACAAATTTTATTTATTGTAGGTATTTATTACTTTGCCTACTACTTTGTTTTTGTAAGATATTTTAATGTTTAAGAGAAATTTTAAATTGTTATATTTTGTACAGGCGTTTAGTAGGCGCTTATGGCCTGTCCTACTACTCTACCTACGTCCTACTCATAAATCGTATTAAGAGTTAAGACACCTATAGGCTATACTCTATAGTGATAAACGGATGAATTTAAATATCCCAAAAATCAAACGTACAAACACGGGGTATGTTCAAACTGCGATTTGTGGTTTTAAGGCGATTCCACCAGATGATTTTCTGTCTTTGTCCAACACACGAGTGACATAGTATTGTAAACGTGTTTTTTGCCAAACATATCAGTTTATCTAATTAAGCGATAAGAATTCTGAAAACAGAGGTGAATTCATCGTCAAGTCTACTTGAAATCGACTTTCCCAAATGTTTGATATGATCCCCCAAATTCCTAAAAACGTCGTAGGTATTAAAAAAGGTGGGCAAGTGGGTGTCGCTCTGCTGTATAGTAGGTTACAAGTGGGTCACTGTATAATGGATGATATTAAATTTGAATTCAACGATATAATATCATTGTATAAGAAAAACGATTCTGAGCGGAGACGGTATGTCAGTCTAGGTATAAGACATATTATATAGGTACATATCTATCTATGGTACCTACTAAACCAAAATTTGACCTATAACAGGTACCTATAATAAATTCCAAATTAATCATATCACAATATCCATTAGGTACTTATAACGCGTTATACATCAACAAAAACCGTGATACTATCATAGATATATAATAGTACACTTTAGTAGTTTCAAGTACCAACGAATAATATTATTCAATCACAACAAAATAACTAAAGTACCTAGTTATTCTAGGTTTTTTAATATGTAATTTCGTCCAAATTTGAATTTAAAATGTCTGTAAAAAATAACTGTGTTCATATATTTTTTAGATTTTTTGGTTACAGTATGAACTATTTATGAGAACCTTTGTTTTAAATTTGCAATCCTTAGCTATAAAAACTGAACATTTTATAATTTATTAATTACGATGATTGATAATTTTCGAGATTTTGATAAATTTTGTCAAAATTCGATCTTTAAATGCTTATAAAAAAAAACTGTGCCCATATATTTTTAATATTTTTCAACTGATATTGTAACAGTATATCAGGAGCCTTGCATTAAATTTTTACACTTTTTGGCCCAACAGATAAAATTGTATTGATATTTATAGAAAAAAAACTAAAAAAAATTGAAAACTGAAAATGTCCGTTAATAGCTCAAAAAGAGTCAAAATTTTATGGTGTATACCTACTAAGTATACAGTATAGGAAATACTAATCTGAACATTCAGTGAAACTTTCATGTATCTACAGTTATTCGTTTTTGATTTACATAAATTTTAATATTGATGATATTTAACATAATAGGTACAGATAAATATTTGGGCTCCTTAGAACCCCCCCCCCCTGGTCACAACCTAATTGCGCCTATTATGCTACCTACCAGTGGAGTAATTACAGGGGGATATAGGTGACTTTTTTTAGAACCGACAAACCATTTTTATAAATACTTATTTAACTATAGGTAAATATGCCAAAAATGAACCAAAGTGGTCTTATTTGATTTAGTACCCACAAAATACCAAAACACTACAATTATTATTTGTAAATTGTAGGTATTAGATATTAGGTGCTAAAGTATATATATTTTTTTGAGCCTCAACTGCTAGTGGATGCTACTGTTAATGGCTTTAAAGTATATTTTATAGAAATAATGCATAAAAAAGGTGGGCAAGTAGGTGTCGCTCTGCTGTACAGTAGGTTATAAGTAGATCACTGTAATGGATGGTGTTAAATTTTAATCCAATGATATAATAATAGAAAAATGATTTTGAGCGAAGACGGTCAGTCAGCCTATTATAATATTACTATATAAGTATATTTGATGATATTATTGTGATTTGTGAATAAAGTACTTTTATTTATATATAATAATATACCTATTTACGCGGAACCTCGTTTTAAATTTTCAATCCTTAGCTATAAAAGTAAAACATTTTATGCATTTTTAACTACAAAATAATTATTAAATTTTAAATTTGATACATTTTGTCAAAAATTCGAACTTTAAATGCTTATAAAAAAAACTTGTGATTCTATGTATTTTTAATATTTTTCAACTGCTAAAGTAAAAATATATATCAGGAGCCCTGTATTAAAATTTTCACGCTTTTTTAGCCAACAAATAATATTTTATAGACAATTATAGAAAAGAAAAATTAAAAACTAAAAATGTCCGTAAACAGGATATTTGTATTTATTCAGCCAAAACAATTACAATAAATTACATTAATAATAATTAATAACTAATACACATACCAACTGAGCTATAAGCTCGTATCTGGTATAGGGTATGCCAAATCACTAATTAGTAATCACTAAGTACGAATAATTATAATTCGATGAAAGTAATAACTAATAGTAATTATAATATGAAAACACAGTAAGGAAGGCACTTATAGATTATTATTACCTATGTATCATATATTCATATAGGTACCTACATATTTATATTGAACGTCGATATTATCTCGAACTAAATTTAAATTCCCCTTAAATTGCTAATATGCAATAAGACTCGATATCTCGAACTTTTTTCTATTCCCCTTGAAATTCCACATTACCTATAGGCTATAGTAGGTATTCATGCACTCGGGATATCCCCTGAATTATGTTTTAAATGTTTGTAAGTAATTTAAACATCACATTGTCCCTCACATTATAAAATATAAGTAGGTAGGAAGATGGTTGGTATAATTAGCCAGGTATGTAGTACATGGCTACATCTCTTTTCTTTCTTGTTTAAACGTTAGTTTTTTTATTACTCAGAAGCTTCTGTGTTAGCGAGAACACTGAGAACCGTAGACTCAGGCTCGGATTAACACATTTTGAGGCCCAGAGGCCAGTCTTAAAAGAGGACCCTGTACGAAAAAAAAAAATAATGTATATATTATTTAATATTAGGTACATAGCAATAAATAATGATTAATGCATCACTTTATTTATAAATTTATTATAATTTACAAGCTTTTTTCCTCTCTAAAATAATCATCAATTTTTTTTAGGTAATTTATGCAGTGTTATAGCCTATAACGAAAAAAGTAATGGACAAATCTGAGGCCCCTAAATAAATTATAACTATAGAGGCCTGGGGGCCATGGTCCACCTGCCCCCCCCCCCTTTAATCCGGGCTTGACCATAGTTTTTCTCACCGTTTGCCTAAAAGCTCGAACATTTTGTTTTATAAATAATGGTAAAAGGGGGACCAATATAGTCATATAAATAATATCAAAAAAAACTGCCATAAAATACATTCACATCACAACATTTTAATAATATTAGTGCTACTGACTTTCTACTTATAATTAATAAACTGCGTACTATTATACCTATCCGTTAATATAATATTATGCTTTTATGGTGACAGGAAAATAGTTTAGGTATATAGTAATATATAATCATTATAATAATAACCAGTGTATTAAGTTAAGTTTGGAAATTCGTACCTAATCGAAGCGACTTAGCCGAGTTCAAATCAAATCGTTTTGATTATTGATCAATATTGAATTTTTAAGGGACAGGAACGGATCCCAGGGGAGTGTTAGGCTCAGACCAACTCAGACATCTTATTTCTCCAATTTTTTTTATTAATAAATATTTGCTATTACTATATTCCAATCACAGATACGTATGTATCGTATGTATCATATGTATGATACATATTATTATCTTGTAGACTGCTAATCCAATATTATATTATATAAAACATTTTAAACTAAGAATAAAGTGCATATTGTAATTGAATATGTGAATGAGGTGTTGTCATGTCCATGACCACATGCAAAGCGAACCTGTGTAGTTGAGTGATGTGTAAGGCAGTAAGGCACTAAAGTAAGGCGACTAAATTAGAAAAAAATTTATAGTTATTATGCGACATGTTGACATGTTGTGGATATACCTAATTGCTTATCTGTACAGTACATGCTTAATATAATAGTACTGCACCTATTACATGTACAATATTATGTATATAGTGTGGAATGTGGGTTAGATAATTCATGTGACATAACTATACCTACATAAGTAATCGTCAATCGTATTTTATAGTTTTTTTTTTATTTTGGTCACATGATAATATTTTTACATAATATTATAAGTTACAGTTACCAAATAACTTAAAACTAGTTTTAAACAGTTGTGTGTTTGTATTACAATTAATAGTTCAATATGGTTCATAATTATAATTACAATAATAATAAATCAGATAACGTTGCAAACATATTTGAATCAATTATATTCATCAATTACCTATATCTTTTTTTTTTTATTATTAGATGACCTGCGGCAACATAGGACATTGGGTGGGGGTGGAACTGTGAGTTTTTGTATAGGATAGGTTTGGTACACGTGTGTGTGTTGTGGCAGAATTTCTAGTGGGGCACCCGTAGGTTTCTGCCATGCCCCTGGGATGGCGGCACTTGTTCTCCGGACACCGTGACTTGCTAGGAAGAAAAATGCCGCCCAGTGACCAAGATCGAACCGGCGACGGCTGCGTCCCAACCGACGCCTTAGATCGCTCGGCCACCTCGTCCTCCAACCTATATCCTTATTATTGTCAAAGCCCATATAAGTACAATAATTATTATTGTTATACCTTATTAAATAATGGTTAATATATTTCTATTTTTACTGGGAATGTATATTTGTATGTCAGTTATTACAATTTCAAAATAAACCATCTGCGTGCCATGGATTGAATGAATTCATTAATTTTAAGTTTTGATTAACTTATAACTTAAGTCTTTATTTACCAACTGTCTAGTTTCATGTCATGCAAATAGAGTACAAAAAAAATATTTATAGGGTAGCCGGTAGGTACTGTCGACGTACTGAGTGATATATATGGACTAAGTTACAGAGTGTACCCTATTTTTGAGGACACATGGTATTATATTTATCCATTATTTGCAGAATTTCAGATATTCGTGATAGTATAAACTGTATAAGTCTAAGTAGTATGACGAAAAAGTACACAGTGTAAGTACACAGTACAAGTGAAAATATATTATATATTAGTTTAGTAAAAATTGAGCTTGTTAATAATACATTTATTGATTGATAATTCAAAAAAGAAATATATAGTATTTATAATAAGTTTTAAAGTAATTAAGTTGCTTTTAAATGTTTAAACATAACTTTTGCAATTAAAAAATTACACAACCAAGCAATCAGTCCAAAAGAAAGAAATAAAATGAATGAGATGTCAAACAAAAAATACTGTAAATCATTTAACCCTATGGAGTCACTTTTTAAATGTCCAGCTCCACCATACCGAATAACATACTCGACCCAGTAAACAGCACGATCTAGAGGTTTCATTGGTTGATCTTTGTATACCAGACTTTGTCTCATTGCCTTCTCTTTAAACCTAAATTAACAACAATAATTTTAAGATAATAGTATTAGGTAAGTATACCTAGTTTATAATTTGTACATACGTGACGTCGGACAACACTTCATCGATAGCATTTCCAAAGGATTCTTCAGTTATTTCAAAAAAATTTACTAGTTTGCCATAACCTTTTTCCTCAACTATTTTCATGTTAAAATTCTGTTCAGCGAAAAAAGGTACTCCGACTATAGGTTTTGCATTACAAACAGTTTCTTCTAAGCTATGTAATCCTCCATGAGTAATGAAAAGTATTACATTTGGATGAGCTGTATGTGTACGTTGTGTAATATGAAATTAGGTGAATAGAATATTATTATTTGTATTGGTGTAAAATAATGATAATAATCAATACCTAATGTGTCAATATTATTACCTAAAATATCTCTTTGTGGAAACCACGAACCAGTCATGATGTTTTGAGACAGCTTTACATTACTATCTTCGGGTGTCCATTTTATTATTACTTTTTGTTTTAATCTTCCAAGGACATTAATAAAAACATTAAATTTTTCTTTAGGTAAGTCATTTAAATTAACCAGAGTACCAAAACTAAAAAATATTACTCCTTGATCTGCTGCATCTAAAAATGTTTGAAGATTCTAAAATTTTAAACAAAAGTTATGATTTTTATAAAAGTAATGTAAATAAAAAATTTTTATATACCATAATATAATAGTAGTATATATTTGTATGCCCACATCCAGCTTTTTCACGGTAAAAAAATTGTTCAAGCGGGAATGTCCCTCTTAGAGCTTTCCGATTTACCGTGTAACACTATAATAAGGAGATTACACACTGATTGTCCACCAAATTTCGTCTACACAAAAATATTTGCCTTATACCAAATTTTTACCAAACCTTATTGTAAAACTGAAATTATTATTTCAAGTAAAGAACACAAATTATGAAATAATAGATTTTTTTTTTTAGATTTTGAGTGAAACGATGAATGTATTGATTTTACAATGATGTGTGTTTTTTTTTTTGTGTCTGTCATCGCGTTTTAGGATAGTAAAAGTGCTTAGATTTTATTCAACAGTAGCTTTTCTGATAGGAAAGTGAATCTAGTTGGTACTTTGAAGGGTCAAATGTAGTTTTCAAAAGCGGCGTGAAAAATAAAATAAAAATTAAGGAAAAACTGGAACAAGATTCCACGTAAGTAGTTAATTTTGTTACCAAAAAATACATAAGCACAGTTTATTTTTATAGTCATTTTAAGTTCAACTTTGGACAAAATCACATAAAAAAACCCTAGAATAACTCTTTTAGTTATTTTGTTGTGATTGTATAATATTATTCGTGGGTACTTGAAACTTCTAAAGTACACTATTATATATCTATGGAGTATGGACTATGATAGTATCAGGGTTTGTTGTTGACGTATAACGCATTATAAGTACCTAATGGATACTGTGATATGATTAATTTGGAATTTATTATAGGTAGGTACCTATTTTAGGTAGATTTTTTTTAATACGATAAATAAGTACATAATATGTCTTATACCTAGACTGACATACCGTCTCCTCTCAGAATCGTTTTTCTTATAGGTACCTACAATGATATTATATCATTGAATTCAAATTTAATACTATCCATTTTATAGTGACCCACTTGTAACCTACTGTACAGCAGAGCACCTTTTTACAATTAGATTTGGTAAAAAATTTGGTATGTGGCAAATATTTTTGTGTGAGGTGAAATTTGGTGGACAATCAGTGTGTAATCTCTGTATTGTGTTACACGGTAAATTGGAAAGCTCTAAGGCAGACATCCCCCCCTTGAAAAATGTTTGTTACCGTGGAAAATCTGGCTGTGAACATACAAATATATACTACTTATAATATTAGGTATAATAGCAATAATAGCATTATATATTTATATGATTATTAAACCATAGGTATAATAGTGTATAACGTATACAAAAATATATATCAATGACTAATGAGCATTGGAGCCGGAATCAATTTAAAATTTCAATTTATCTGTACCTAGCTATGATACCATACATCGTATATTATAAGTAAATAGTAATAAATTATATTCATTTAGTATTTTAACCAAAAAGAATAATTGTGAAAATAAAAATTTGACGTCTCTCTGTGTACAGTTCAACTCACGCAAAGAGGTTAAATACGTCTTATAAGTTACAGGTATGTACATATACTGTCATATTTCTTAAGTACCTAAGTACTATTGTACTAGGTTGAAGGTTCATATGTATATAATATATACAATATATATTTAAAATACTTTTGCAAAAACGTATTTCAAATATGATTCTGCAGAAACTTATTTTTATATTTTGCATTTAAAAATATTAAATACCTACCTACAAAAATAAATATTTATAAAATATTAAGCCAATGAAGATTTTATGAATTTAGCAAAGCAATTCTTTATATACATATTATCTACAATTTATAATACCTACTAGAAGGAGAATGACACCAGTTACCCACTTCAGAGCTATAATATATACTTACTTTGGGCAGAGGTTTTGGGTCTTTGATGTGCATCCCACCCACCTCAATGATACCCGGAAGGTATGGTCTAGATATACCAATCGCGTTATGAGAGTTGACCAGTGTTAGTGATACATTGTTCAACATATGCTCGAGTGGAGGCCTAGATTCCCAGCCCTTGTACTTGAGGTATGTGTTCATAACTTCCTTCGTTTTGGGTAAATACATGTAATTTTCTACATATGATTGCATGAACCCAGTAATAGTGTTCTTTAGACGTTCGACGAAACCCATGTCACTGGTTGATTGGGTACACGCATCCGGTATGTACGAAAACGTGGAAGGGACGTGCAGCCATTTGCTGATACTGGCCCAGATCATTGCTGGTGCTAGATTAATGACAGGGGCCTTGAATTTGTGACCCATGGCCACAGCATATTCTTGACCGAAAGTTTCGACCATAACCAAATCGAACGAGTTTGAATTAGATCGAACGAATTGTTTCATATTTCTATGTGACATGACCATTTCTGATAGTTGTATCCCAATGCGCCATTTCAACTGAACTGATGTTACAAAGTTCATGCGTACTAAATCCATTACGTTTCTCCCTGAAACAAAACGTATTATACATTTATAAATATCCTTGTTTGGATAATAATAATAATCTCTACATATATTATATTATTAATATAGAATATAAAATATTTATATACATATATAATTGTCTTAAGATTTCGTGGGAGGGGGGGGCAGCACTCCCTGGCTACGCCGTACTGGTTGTACGTATATTATATATTATTATAGTTGCATACTAGCACATAAGTTGACTAGGTATTAGATCTTTTATGCAACATTTAGTATTTTTCATGAGTTATGCACATAAGCACAACTAGGGGGGAGGCTAGGGCCTTAGCCCCACAAAGCTTGTAATAGCCCACTCAAAATAAATTATTCAATTCTTTCCTTAAATATTAACAAATCTTTAAAAATTAAACTATATTATTTCTTATTTTTTTTTTCGGGAAAAAAATGTAATTATTTATTTTTTTAAATTTTTATTTGAACTTTTTTTTCTTATATTGCCTATGGGCTACGATAAAATATGGTAAATACTAAATACTAAATACTAAATATCATAAGTTGTATGTTTGCATTCATTTTAAGGAAACAATTTATGTCGGTATATGATATAAATTACCTATTTTGTATTTGGTAAGATTAATACGCATAATTTTACAGTATGCGGCAATGCACTGAAAGAGATAGGTAATAGAGGAACAAAAATCCCCTGAAAAAAATCCCCGACCCTTGGAAAAATAACCTCCAGACTATACAATATTAGTATATTACTGACAACCACATGGCATTTTTAAAACGCAATTAGTGTAATATTATTATTACATTATTAATATTTACATTATAATCGTTTTCCAAAAAATGTGCAGATACCTACCTACTTGATTTATATAGGTTCGTAATAAATAATAATAATCATACTATGAAGTTTAAAAACTATAATAATGATAATATAATATACTAAATATAAGGCATAAATTACAAAATATGTACCTACTACCACCTACAATATATATACGTATAATGTTTATTATCATATTTTAAATGTTTAATATCTGCTGTATTAAATGTTAATTATAACTTGTAAGTAATAATGCAATTTCCACGAACCTCTTGTTTTGTCTATAAATGGTCCTATATCTGTGTAGTTGGCAATCGTGCGATCTAGAGGGAATGAACTGACTACGGTTACATTGTGCCCTCGGTTTGACAATTCTTCGAACAACGGTTGGAATCCACGGACATGGCTTTTAATCGGTAAAGGCATGAAGACCAATATGTTTGCCGCCCTTATAACGGTGGTGGTGATACATAAAACCGAACAAAATACCACGCTTGGCAACATTTTATGCGTAAATAATCTAAAACGCGGTTTAAACACAGAACGATCTTATTTAAATAGCTGATACCAGTGTATCGATAAAAAAAATTCCAAAAATGTAGTTAGGTAAACTTATTTACATCGTTCGAAGCAAATCATTATTCGAAATTTCGACGATTGAGAATAGATTGAATTGATGGGTATAAATGTTGAGACATCATCACGGTTAGGTACTTTTTATTAAACTGATTTGATAACACTACCTATATTAGATTATTATTACGTAGGAAGGGCGAAGACCTCGACGGAATAAATTACGCAACATAATAGTTTGGTCTATTTCTTTTCAACCAATATAATATTTTGAATCTTAGAATTGAATCAATATTTGCAATCACCTAACTACGAACTACCCAAGCTTAGCTGTTGATTTGGTAATAATACATTTATAATAATCGTGTAGGTAATTATTATTGAATTCAGCAGGCTTACAGTAGCTCAGGTTCGTATAATATTCTGTGACTTCTGGAGGGGATGATATTAGTCCATTCGAATTTCGAATTCCAAAAAAATGTAATCCCTACAAAATTCTACTTATATTGAGAAATAAAAATAAGGATGTCAGAACTAGACATATATGTCATCCAGAAAAAGTTTTCTTTCTCTGACCTACGCGCAACATAAGTCATAACAAATAGGTACGAAATATCTATATATGTGTTTATTATTATAGTAGGTACCAAGACACTATCTACCTACTTGAATAGAGTCAAATAGTCAATACTGTGTTGTTAGTGATTACATGTTAGATTTAATATTAAATAGTGTGTTGTAATCAATCTTCGAAAATCCAGGGTTGGATACAATATTTTTTCAATACCAAATATTGACCTTTTGGCTTTTAGTTAACCTGTTAACTGCTTTATGTAAGCTTACATAGCATAATATCAATAATATTATAGGAGTGTATTTATACAATAGTATTTATTAATTTATCATAACTATGTAATTATTTAAAAATGAAATAAGAGTAGGTAGTTCCATTTTTAATGAAATGTAAAATATAAAACATAAATAGGTAATGTACTTTATTATTTATTTAATACAATTACTACTTCCTTAAAATTGTATAAAATATTATATAAGTTAATAGTTATAACTAAAGATAATTTAATTTTAAAATAAGAACTGCAGTATAATAAGTTGCGTTTATTTTTCGAAAATTCTCTAACAACATTTTGAGCTAAATTTAAGTCTTGAATTTTCTGTATATGTATACTGAGCATGCATAATCCAGATAATAAATTATTATATTATACACTTAGAAATTAGGTAGTTCTTATTAAGTTTAATATCTATATGATGAATGATGATATATCTGTTATTAAAATCATTGAACTACGTGAAAAATCATCAATATATTTTTCTTATATTAATATAATAAATTATCGATGGATAAAATTAATTTCTGTGACTATAGGACAAGAAGTTATAGTAAAGAACGCTATGATTATCAATTTTATTTATTCAATGTATCAGTTATAATTATCTTCTTGAAGAATAAAAAAAAAAATATATATATATATATTTTATAAAACTGTATAATAGACACGGAAATCCAGGGGGACATGTCCCCTCTTTTCCCCTCCCCCATCACCCCAATGGACGCTCTTATGGCTAATAAGTTATAATACTAGGTCGGGTGTAAAATAATGAAATTTTATATAACGATTAACGATCATAACTTGCAAGTTATGCTTTACAATTAAAATGTCAGTGAAAGCCACTAGCCAGCAGTCAGATGTTCTAGTTAGTACCTACCATTCTAATCTTTATGTTTGATAATAGTTCAAAATTTCAAATATTCAATTCATATAATATAATATAATATTAATATAAATCTAACAAGTAACAACATAAGATTGGTTCTGCCGATCTCAAATTTGATACATATATGTCATATGTGGCGAGTGGGTGCGGTGCATTAGTATTCAGTGCCCTGACAATTTACATGCTCTTAAGGCGAGAACTTTTAATAGTGCCTAGTGCAGGAACTGGAACCGAACTTCAAAGAACTGGTTCTGGAACCGGAACCTTTAAAATTTTAAGAACCGGAACCGGAACCTTTATTTTATGTATAAAGTATCGGAACCGAACTGGAATTTTTATATTAAGTATATAGGTTCTTTTAGGTTCTAAAATATAATTATTTATATTTTTATTTTTATTAGATAAAAATTGAGTATTTATAATCTGTAATATAATACAATACAAAAAGTAAATTTTTTTTTTAGATTCTGAGTGAAACGATGAATGTATTGATTTTACAATGATGTGTGTTTTATTTTTTTTTTTCATTTTTCATCACGTTTTAGAACAGTAAAAGTGCTTATATTTTCTACAACAGTAGCTTTTCTGATAGGAAAGTGAATCTTGTTGGTACTTTGGGGGGTCAAAAGTAAAAATTTCTCAGTAATTTTCACAAGCGCCGGGAAAAACAAAATAAAAATTAAGGAAAAACGGGAATTTTTACACAAAATCGGTTTTCCAAAAAATCGATTTTGGTTTTTGGTGTAACTCTAAAAGAAATGAACGTATATACATGAAATTTTCACTGGTTGTTTATATTTGCATTTTATATACACGATAACATTTTCAAAATATTTTGATTTATTTTGAACTGTTTAGGGACATTTTCATTTTTCATTTTTTTTTTAGTTTTTTTTCTAGAAATATCAATAAAATTTTATTTGTTGGTTAAAAAAACTTGAAAATTTAATAGAAGACTCCTAGTATATTGTTTCAAAGGCAGATGAAAAAATTAAAAATCGTTAGTCACAGTTTTTTTTTATAAGCATTTAAAGTTCAAAAATTGACAAAATATGGAAAAATCACGAAAATTAGCAAATTATTTTGAGTTAAGAATTCGTAAAAATTTTTCTTTTTAAATCTAAGATTTGAAAATGAAACACAAGATTCCTTATAAGATTATCTACCTACATATTTAGTACCATAGATATAGAATGTAGGTACCTATATAATATGTCTTATACCTAGACTGACATACCGTATCCGCTCAGAATCGTTTTTCTTATACAATGATATTATATCGTTGAATTCAAATTTAATATCATCCATTATACAGTGACCCACTTGTAACATACTGTACAGCAGAGCGACACCCACTTGCCCACCTTTTTTTTTTTTTTTTATTAATCTTTAATGTCCGGCGACTATGGCCATTAGCTGATTGCAAAAACTTTGTCAGTTATTTTTATGAAGCAACATGCATTACATTTTTTAGAGTTCTCAGAAGTCCACTTATCACAAAAACTTTAGGTCAATATTACTTTTTCCATATTTTTGTAAGAAAATTACATACATAGGTAGGTACCTCCTATTGGCTATTATCTGTAAATACAAATTAATAATAATAATAGCAATAACAATAATAATAATAATAATAATTATATTTATTTAATTTTCCTACTAAAAATCAGCTGAAACCGGTACCTTTATTTTTTTCATCAAAGAACCAGAACCGAACCGGAACCGTTATTTTATTTTTGGAGAACCGGTACCGGAACCGATACCGATAAATTCAAAAGGTTCCAGTCCCTGGCCTAGTGTCCTAGTACCTAGGTTCCAGATTGGTACCCATAGTAAATGTGTAATTTTCAAGCAATAAACTTATTAGTTATTCGAAATTAGCACCATAATTTATATTTATCGAATGTCTTTATAGTAATACAGTCTTATCGCGTTGTCGGTTTGTCACTGCAGTGGTTTTTATAACATATTAACATGAGTGTGCATTTTTTATTAAATAATACATTGAATAATAGTTTAAAAAAATCTGAAACTGATATTTCTGAAAGACATTCTATAAATTACATATTTACATGTTGAACTAAAAAATAATACTTTAGATTCTGAGTGTATTGATTTTACAGTGATGTTTTTTTTTTAATTTTTAATTTTTGTGTCTGTCATCACCTTTTAGGACAGTAAAAATGCTTGGATTTTCTTCAACAGTATCTTTTCTGATAGGAAAGTGAATCTAGTTGGTACTTTGTGGATCAAAAGTAAAAATACTCGATAGTTTTCAAAAGCGACGTGAAAATCAAAAGAATTATTAAGGAAAAACGGGAATTTTTACTCAAAATCTGTTTTCAAGAAAATCGATTATTTGGTTTTTGGTGCAACTCTAAAACAAATGACCGTATAGGTACATGCAATTTTCACCGGTTGCTTATATTTGCATTTTCTATTCACGATAACATTTTCAAAATATTTTTATTTATTTTGAACTGTTTAGGCACATTTTCATTTTCCATTTTTTTTTTTAGTTTTTTTTTTTAAAATATCAATACAATTTTATTTGTTGGTTAAAAAAGCTTGACAATTGAATAGAAGGCTCCTAGTATATTGTTTCAAAGGCAGATGAAAAATATTAAAAATCCTTAGTCACAGTTTTTTTTTATAAACATTTAAAGTTCAAAAATTGACAAAATATGGAAAAATCACGAAAATTAGCAAATTATTTTGAGTTAAGAATTCGTAAAAATTTTTCTTTTTAAATCTAAGATTTGAAAATGTAATACAAGATTACTCATAAGTTTGTCTACCTTTATCAATAAAAAAATCTCTACCGAAAAGTCAAATTAAATTTTTATGAGCGTTTGAAATTAAAATTTTTACAACATTGGATTTTCACTCGATTACTCATGTAGCGATTTCCTTATTTTGTTGCAATTCAAAAACGAATAAGTGTAGATACATTTCACTGAATGTTTATATTAGCATTTTCTATACACCATACAATTTGAAAATTTTTGACTCTTTTTGACTCTTTTCTCTATAAATATCAATAAAGTTTTATCTGTTGGACCAAAAAGTGTACAAATTTAATACAAGGCTCTTGATATATTGTTACAATATCAGTTGAAATATATTAAAAATACATAGTCACAATTTTTTTTATAAGCATTTAAAGATCGAATTTTGACAAAATTTATCAATTTTAAAATTTAATAATTATTTTGTAGTTAAAAATGTATAAAATGTTCAACTTTTATATCTAAGGATTGAAAATTTAAAATAAGATTCCATGTAAGTAGTTTATTCTGTTACCAAAAAATCTAAAAAATACTCAAGCACAGTTTATTTTTATAGACATTTTAAGTTCAAATTTGGACAAAATTACATATTAAAATCAATATTAACGATTTTAGTTTTTTGCTGTAATTTAAAATCATTATTCTGGGATATATGAAACTTAAAAATCAAAAAATCAAAATATTATGGCCTATCTATGCAATCCAGCATAGTATAATGAATAAGAAGTATGCTCAATGATAAGACTGTGCATATTTTATTTTATTACCATTGATATGTATATATATATATGTCTTAATCCTAGACTGGCAGACCGTCTCCGCTCAGAATCGTTTTTCTTATACAATGATATTATATCATTGAATTCAAATTTAACACCATACATTACTGTGACCCACTTGTACAGCAGAGCGACATGCCGACATCCACTTACCCACTTTTTAATAATTAATTTTATTTAAAATGTTTAAAATATTTAAATATGGATTGCTTCAGTGGCGCACATAGATATTTTGAGAGCACATGCAACTAACAAAAGTTACCCACCCACCCACCCATTTTTTTATTTAAAAAAACGTTCTTTTGAACTGTTATTTGTAACTGTAATTAACTTAAAATGCCTATACTTTATCTATGTACCTATAACCATAGGCGTGTATACCTACCCACCCATCCACCCACCATGAGAGCACATGCAGTTGCACCCCTTGCTAACCTGTCTGGGCGCCACTGGATTGCTTATTAATTACTAATTTGATTATTGTTGTATACTTACTTAAATGATGTACATAAAAGTATTGAAGTTTAAACTAAAATTCAATCTGTATTGCCATTAACATATTTCCGTAAAAAATGTATCCTATAATTTTTTTTTTAAATTGGTACCAATTATATTTATTGCTCCCTAAAGATTCTAAAACTAGGTGATATATTTTTAATACAATTTATTTGTTTATTAGATAGGTACTTTTATATAAGTATAGTTTTGATCCTGTATTCCTGTGTGTGGCTGTACAGTGGAAGACCACCTGTAAGGTGTTATTGTGTTTATGTTAAACCTATTTTACTAGTGAAATTTATTTTATCATGGTATTTATATGTTGCTAGTTTTGTTATTTTAGTAATTTATTTTAGTATTAGTAATATGGTATAAATAAGCAATAGTTTAAAATTAATTTAAATATTTTGAAAATGACATTGCCTACAGTAAAATATAATAATATACCTACAAGACTACAACTATACAAGCTTGTAGTCCCCGAGTTCCTATATATTTGAATTACGATAAAATAACTTAAGTCGTTTTTGTTTAATACCTACCCAATTTCTTCAAAATGTTAAGTTCAGATGTGAATAAAAAATGATGACACCATAATTATAGAATTTTTGGATTTCAGTAAAAACTATAGGTAATGTATGAATACTTATGAACCAAGTTAGGATAACCTTTTATTGAATTTTCAAAAATGTATAAATGTTAAACTAAAAAAACAATTTAAAAAATCTTCACCTTCAAAAAACAACTAAAAAATTCAAACTGTTTAAATGCCTATAAAAGCTTAAAATGAGTCCAAATATATTGAGTTATAATTTATGTAGTACTTAATGGAATTGATCAATTTTCTACAATTAGGTAGTGGTTAATAATTATATATCAGAATTTTTATCAATAAGATTTTTTTCCTTTATTGATTTTTGTGTTTACACTTTAAAATTACTACATACCACATAAGTTTATAATTTTCAAGTAGAGGTATTCTTCTTATATGGAGTCCAATAATATATAAATTGTAAATATAGTTTATAATATTATAATTAACACAAACATATCATATCCAATAATCAACATCCTATGTCTTTTCTAAAATGTTCCTTTAGGTAAACATTTTAAAGAATAAAATATAAGAGCACAAACTTACTAATGAAAAATTAATAGATATTTTTATCTGAAAAATAAAACAAAAATTCTATTTTCTATCAAATCATTTATAAAATAAATAAATAAATTCATTAAGGTTACACTGTGTTATGTAAAAATTTATTTTAAGTCATTTTTAATATCTTAAACAAAAATAACATATTATTTCGCAAATATTTTTACTCAGTCATCTAGAATTTTTTTAAGACGCTCAAAAATTGGATTGAATATTTTACGATAACCTATTTCAGACGGATGAAGAAAATCTGGCGCATCATCTTGACTTAATGTACCATCTGGTTGTAGCAAATGAGAATTGAACAATTCAACATTGAAAATGCTTTTCACTTTTCCACTCAAAATTTCATTTACTTGAGTTCCCAAAATTCTCAATGGACTTGGATAAGGATCACGTGGTAATATTCCCTACAGATAAAAATCATTAAAATAAGCAATTCAAAATATCTATAAATAAAAACACGTTCAAATTATTTTATTTGTACATACACTCATTTGAATGTGTAATTTGGTCTGTGGACTAAAAAAAGTTCAACCACTCTGTTAAAACGAGAATTCTCTAGTATAATGTATACAAAGTGATCAAGATATTATAAGGTATCACTGATATCTCAGATGGGTGACTTTGTATTGAAATGGGGTTTTCACTAAAAATAATGTTTAATTATTTCACACTTATTTTATTATATCCAGTGGTTATAAATGAAAGTATCATTTATGCATAAATCCAATTTTTGACTTACACTAACTTGGTCAGTTTTGAAAATAGAAAACACTTTTTATACAATAAAGGTTAAAAAAAAATACTCTACCCAAATCTGCAGAAAAAAACTGGGGTTGCCATTTAAAACAAAGTAAGTCGTATTCCACATGGGCGTACTGAGAGAGCTAAAAATTTGAAATTGGTCTGAAAATATATATTTAAGTGCTCCCTATCACCTCCCGAAAACCCTATTTCAATAAAAAGTCACCCATCTGAGATATTCAGTGGTACCTAAAATCGTGATCACACTGTATACGAACAAAAAAATTTGCAGACCAAAAAGAAAATGTAATAGGTAATAAAAATCTTATTTTTGGTATTATTAAATTACAAATATCTGAAAGTATGTAACATATACATTTAAATTATAATTCAATATATAAGTAATTTGAAGGTTGACAATGTTTTTCAGAAGCTTATCTTGATTGATAGCCTGAAACACAACTTCAATAATTAATTATTGATGTGATTCTTAATTTCAAAATGAGAGAAAACAAATATTGTTCTGACATCCTCATAATTTAGTAGAAACTGCAGTTTAACAAATTAAAGTACTTTTAGTTTTTATTTAACGAAAACATTTCAAGAGAGAAATTGATCTTGTGAAGAACATTACTTTTATCTAGGGCTAAAAAGTAGCACTTGTTGTTTTGCATTAGATTTTGAAGAAATCCAAACATGTGGATACTAATTTTATTGACTCTTCTACTAACAGTTTGAATGAGAAAGTGAATAGTGATACAGTTTCAAATTGTTTAGCTATTTTGCTGTTTATAAGAACATATACTCTGTACCAAATAAGAGAGCACCGCGTTGGCACATCCAAATGAATCGCGGAGTGACGTCCGGACCACTTGGCCGGGTATATTAGCTGTCATTGGTTGCTGTTAGTCGGCCGTATTCGCCGCCAACACTCTACGCTGCTACAAGCAGCGGTAGCGCTCTCAGTCATGCGCGAGATTCGACCGGTTTTCGTGCGCCGCCAGGTGCACTTTTATTTGGTACAGAGTATAAGTATGGCCATTTTTTATCGCACAATGATTGATGAATTCACCATGTAAAATGCCACCGATTGGACCACACTATTTTCGAGTACGAACTTTAAATGTAAACCTATATCAATATGAAGATTGTGCATTTATTTTACACATCTTCTCAGTTTTATTTATAATTTAATGTTTATCAGTAAAAATGTTATGATTAAAAAACAATATAATATAAAATATACAATTCTTACTATGATTATAATGTAGCAATCAGGAAGTTTTGATCTAATTTCATCAACAATAGCCAATATACCATCTGAAATTTGAGCAGGAGTATTATCAACATTGTTTGATCCAACATTAAGAATACAAACCTATAAGAAATTACAGAGACATTTTATAAAACAATAATACAATGTAATAAAAAATGTATTTATACAATTATGAAAGGATTAAATAATACCTAATTATTTATTTATATCTACTTTAGGTTTTATGTGATCAAGAATGCCATTTTTCACTCTCCATAACACATCTTGAGTTCGATCACCACAAATTCCAAAATTTAGACTTTTTAATGGTACAAATTTATCATTCCATATTGGATAACATTGAATTAATTGAATAATAGAAGCACCAATTAAGATAACATCCGGGTCTTTGGCTTTGGCTTCGGCCACATATCGTTTGTGCTAAAAAATGAATGAACATAATATATTTTTGTTACATATTTTACTATTTATACATACTTGAATTTTCCATTCCTCGTCGCCATCAAAGGGAATTGTTGGAACAACACACGGATTCATAGTTTTCTAATAAATAAAAACACTGTAAAAAATGTTAAAAATCCGACCTATTGGCTATTATAAAATTATGTATTCATGGCAATGTAGTCTAATAAAATATTATGTCATGACAATGTGAATGTGTGATATTTATTATTTTAATATTTTAATTCATGCTGTTAATCATTTAAAAAAAACATGCTGTAATGCTGTATGATAACTACCCAAGCAGCTGATAGCTCGCAGCTGCTGGTGTATTGATATAATCACATATAAATAATAATAACAACAACAACAGCAACAGCAACAATAACAACGAAATGATAAAGTAAAATCTTAATCACGGAGGTACTACGCATTCCGCAATAGAAAAGTACAATGTTATTAATAATTATTAATTATTATCGACTATCTATGAAATAATTACTCACTTTTTGGTAACTTAAAATGAATGTCTGATAACTGAATTACTCTGATTATTGATTAAAATTATCCTCAACTTTATTGAGTACAGTCGTCTATGTACCTACCTAACTTACAATTTTTTTTACGAATAACGTTTGTGCTCGTGCCGTAACACCGAACAATTCCATTTTTCATACATTTTTGCGATCCGTTTGACGAAATACATAAAAGTAAGCTCATTATATTTTTCCCACCGTTCAAAATCAATGTAGGCATCACAATAAGCATCGGGTATGCAATAAAAAAAATATATTACCATACTAGGACCTAGGTATTATAAGTATAAGTATAATTAATAATAGTAATAATTGAACTGTTATTACAATATTTTCACATTTTGTAACCACATATAACTGTGGTGAATAATAAGTAAGTTCAAACCAATGTGAAGAAAATGGTCCTAGGAATGCTAGGGTTTTGCTCTGGGAGTAGGAAGGTACTGATAATTAATCTATGGGACGCTTATCTGGAATCCATTTTAAGTTTGGTACCTATGCTAAACTCTGATGCTGTGGGTAGAAGGCTCTCGAGCTGTGGGTATACAACCTATCCGACAGTTATGCAGCAACTTTCATACAAATGATAATTTTAATACTTGGTTACATCTTATGTACCAGGTACGTTCTCAAAAGTTTTAAAGAATTTTTGAAATTCTTCCTGAAATGTTGGGGAGGGCTACGACCCCCCAGCCACCTGGAATGCCACTGTTTGGGGATACAGTTATTTTAAATATGTATTATTTTTAGTTTAGTAGCAAAAAAGTTTATAGTATATTTTCTCAACACAATTTTTGTTTCATATTCTATTTTAATTTTATTTTGAATGGGCTTCACTATTGTATAATAGGTTGTTTTTACTTTTGTACAACTGCATACATTTTGGTTTGTAAATTATGCCATAGACATTTATGACCTTGATTATTTATATTTATACTGCAATACTATATGACCTTTATTTAGAATAGTTCAGTTAAATTAGTTACGTAATAGTTATTACTTATTAAGAAGGTAATGGTTATAGGAATATAGGCAAAAAATGCTTAGAAATAAAATTTTATTTATCAATAGTTTATATTTTAATAGTTATCAAAAAATTGGTAGTACCAATTTGATACCTATAACTATTATATTTATCTATAATTTTGTTCCAGGTTGAAATGTAAAATAGTTTGAGATTAAAAAATGAAAAAATAAAAATAATAATGGACTTAGAAATTCAAAAATATGCGAAGAAGCAAGTCCAACTCCAAGAACAAATCAAGGAGTTGTTTGCTGAGAAAAAAATGTTACAAGAACAAATCTGTGTGCTTAATGAATGTTTATCATTGGAAAAAGTGAATCGGAAAATTTCTGATTTGGAGAATAAACAAAAAATATTAGCTTCTTTAGAAAGCATGGTTAATAATTTAAGAACTGATATTAAACCATTAGATTATTTAAAACAAGTTTTACAAAGGCAACTTATGGTTTCAACTATACCTAATAATGATTTAAATATTGAAGAGCAAAAATGTTCTGAGAGTTCATTATTGACACCGAGTAGCATATGTGCCATTGAAACATTGGACTCTTTGAGTGACGTTAGCTCAGAAGAAAGTATCGTGATTTTATCCGATTACGATGTGGTTTCGGATGAAGAAGTTTTAAATAATTCAGAAAAACCTGTTGAAAACAAAGTCATGTATGATGAAGCACTACAGATGGCATCTAGTGTGCATTTAACATTAGTTGATCATCTAATCCCAAATATTAGTTCAATTGAATCTATAATAAATAATAGTGATCAAGTAAAAGATAACAATTGTTGTGTACAATCTAATTCTAAAAGCACTATTTCTTCGATGAATACAAGTAGTAAAAGTGAACAACTCTTAGATTTATATGATGTTGTAAACGAATTAGACCTTCTAAACTGTAATGGAAATGTTTGTATATTATCTTATTTATTATATACAGTGTGATCACGATAAGTGGAAACACTCAATAACTATGTGTAGGCTTCATGTATTTCAATTCTACTTTTTTGGCTATCTAATAAACATTATTACACACATTTTCAAATAATTAGACTATTTTTGTGACAGTTAATTTTGCGCATGCTCACAATAATTTTTTTTTTATATGGAATGACCTATTTTTGACCACAAATTACTTTTTTTGTATTTTTTAATCAATTTTAGTGGTTGAATTTGTTTTCTAAGTTAAAAAAGTCCGAGTTATAGTAATCTGATTTTGTGTTATTTGCATGGGTATAACAAATTATAAAATACGTAGTTAATAATAATAAATACGTAATAATAAAAATATCCATGCAAATAACATAAAATCAGATTATTATAACTCGGCCATTTTTTACCTTAGAAAAGAAATCAAGTTCTTCAAAACATACAAAAAAAAATAAAATAATTTGTGGTCAAAAATAAGTCAACCAATTAAAAAAAAAAAATTATTGTGCGCACGAGCAAAATTAACTGCCACAAAAATAGTCTAATTATTTGAAATTGTGTATAATAATGTTTATTAGTTAGCCAAAAAAGCATAATTGAAATATATGAAGCCTGCACATAGTTGTTTACTTATCACAATCACACTGTATATAGCTATATTTGTATTCATATGTTTGTAGTATTCTGTATTAATAAAGTAGTATTTTTTAATTATTTAGTTTTTATTGTTTTATAGGAAAACATTGAAATTAAATGTGACAAGAGAAAAGCTGAACCAACACTTTATAAAGCACACCAGCCATGTTTAAATGATAAAGAATTTGATGAAATTGGATTAAAAACATTAGATAATAAGAAATGTAATAATGTGTCAAAATTGGTTAATGATTCATGGGTGAAGATCAGCTCCAGTGAAATTTCAGAAGAAGAACATGTTGATGTTTTTCAATCAATTACTGACTCACAGAAAGTACTTTGTTATACTATAATTTTTTAATATTTTTTTTTATATTTGAATGAGACTACTTATAATTTTTTTTTTTTAGGACAACACAGTGTCAAAAATAAACACATATGTAGATACTTTTGATCAAAATATTAGTGAAATTGAGAGTTTTGACAATAGCTATAACAATTTTGATCCTAATTATGAAAATGAAATTCATAAGCCAGGTTGTACGGTTAATGATGATGTTTGTGGTAACTTGTTATCTTTCACTGAAGTCAATGGATCAAAAGAAAATTTAAATGTAGAAATTCAAGTACAGAATAATGATTTATGTATTCACCAGTTTGAATCTAAAGGCATTATTGAAATTAAAAATCTAGAAAATGTTTGCAATGATAATGATCATAGTTATAAAAATGAACCTCATAATCAAATTTTTCCAAACAACCTTCAACAATGTGAAGTAGAAATTATTTCATCATTATCATCAAGTTCCGAAGATTCTAATGTATCAAACAAATTAATTGAGCCAAAAGTAAACACAGAGGTAGAATGTCAAGTTTATAATGGTCAATTATATAACCACCAGCTTGAATCAAACGTTAAGAGTCTTAAGAATATTTGCAATTCTGTTATTCATTATAATGAAAATAAAATTCATAATCCAGTTTGTCCAATTAATAAAGTTAAAACTACATCTTCTTTGTTCAACACTGAAAAATTTAATAATTCATTGACCAATATTAATGATAGACTGTCTTCTATTAATAATAACGAAAAGCCTATGTGGTTATATCGTACTATACACCTGAAGGATGAACTATTAAATGGCATTCATCGGCATGGCATTCAGGATCTAATGTCATTGCAACAGCAATGCATGTTCCATTATATTAATGGGCGTGATGTTATTTTTCACTCATACCCTTGTGTTGGGAAATCAACCGTGTGCCTAATTTCAGTGTTGCAAAGGATTAACACTAGCTTAAATGAATGTCAAGCTATTATATTAGTTCCAACATTAGAATTGGCATTGTCTGCTCAAAAGGTATTTAGTTTATTATTAGGGCCATGTACAGTTTTAATATTTATAAATTACTATGTTCTAGACAATGAAATCAATTGGGAAATTTTTAAATGTTTCTACATGTATTGGTGGTACCAATGTTCCTCGTAAACTTTCACCGGTCCCTCATGTAGTGATCAGTACCTTGCAAGGTTTATGTGAAATGATCAGTTGCAACTCGCTGTGTAAAGATTTTATAAAAATGCTTATAGTTGATGATGCAGATGAAATGTTAAAATGCAATGGATTTTTTAATAAAATTAGACATATTTTGTTATTCCTTAACAATAACCGTCAACTAATTATTATGTCCACTTCAAAAATAGAGGAAATCTTCGATCAGTTTTCTGACTTAATGAAGAATCCTGAGTATATTTTAGAACCAAATGAAAAACCTTCATTGAATGGTATTTATTGATCCTTAATTTTTATATTATTAATTACTTTAAATTATAAATTATTAATATAAGTATTTATTCGTAGATATATTACAGTATTGTGTTTACGTACCTGAAGAATGGAAATTTGATGCATTCTATGAACTCTATGAATCACTCAATTTAATACATACAGTTGTTTACTGCAACACATGGAGTAAGTCTCTAGAAATAGCAGAAAACATGCGTCTTAAGACATGTTTAGTCTCAGTTATACATAATGAAATGGATACTCATCAACGGCATCTCATATTACATCAGTTTCAATCTGGTACTAACAGAGTGTTAGTTACTCCTGAACTACAGAGAGGCGAGGATTTTTCAGATGTAGCTTATGTTATAAATTATGATCTTCCTAAAAGTCCAAAATACTATGTACGTAAAATTGTCGGTTGTTTTGGCCGCAAAGTTAAAGTAATTAATTTTATCACCACAAATGACAAAACAGCCCAAAAAGATATCGAGACTGCATTTAATGTAAAAATGCTTAATTTACCTCAGGATCTTACTAATTTATGTGAATCTAACTAATTTGCAATCTATAATTAATTAATGTTAAATATGAACAACTATTATTAATATTTTGGAATTATTTAAAATGTTCAGTTATTTTGTTATTATGTATAATTGGTGCATATTTTCTATATTTTATGGTTATTTAAATGTTGTCTATGTATGGCCAGAAACATTTGAGATGTTGTTTATTATGTAAACTGTGCATTGTAATATTATTTTTTCCATGTTATATTTGTTTGTAAAATGTATGGGTCACTAAATTTTTAAATATTTATTCTTTGTTCTTTGTTTTTTTTTATTTTAAATACTCTGAATCATTTGTTACAAACATTCCAAACTCTGAACATGTTTTAATTGTAAAAATTAATTTAAAAATGAATTATTATGATTTATGAGATACGATTTAATGTGGATATTTTTGTGTAGCATAAATGATAAAGTTATATTTGAACAAATGTTTACTTCAATCAAATTATGTAGTTTGTTACATTCCACTTAAAAAACTAACCAAAATAATATTTATGGAGGTATTAACATATTAATCATTATTTATTATAATTAATAATTATTTGTGAATATTATCATCTTATAAAGTAATTTATAGAATTATTAAGTAAATGATATACCCAGCGCAATATATTTTTATTTAATTGAATAATGTTTGGCTTTTATAAATAATTTCTAGCTTGTATATCAATAATTACTTTAGTAAATAATTTAATTAAAATATACTAATTCTGATACATTGAAACTTCGATATTATGAGGTCTTATGGGCAACAAATAATATTTGTATCATAGAGAATAGTTAAATATAATTAAATAAATTTGGTTCTAATTAGGTTTGGTTGATAAAAATACAGTGTACTCTCGGTAACTCGAACCTTGATAACTCTAAATTCTCGATATCTCGAACAAATAAAATTCCCGTTCAAACAATAATAACACATTAAGATTTCGATAGCTCAACATGTTTAGTGTGTCAATTTTTTTTTCCCCCTTGAGCTTCAAGTTACCGAGAGTACACTGTATTTCGTTAAACAGAAATTTTTTTAAAATAGAAGTTTGTAATATAGAATTTTTATTGTATTAGAAATTTTAACTAAATAGGAAAATATTTGATATTATTACCTAGTACAATTAGTAGGTAGTACTTAATCATTATTCATTAATAGGGTTTTGTAAATTTGAATGTGTCTTTCTATCACTGCAGTTCAAACATAGAACACATTTGTTATGATGATTGTGGAAACAAAATGTTTTCCATTGTATAAAATGTAAATATATAATAAAAATAATATTAAAGATAATCATTTAAATCATTTAAACTAAAATAAAATTGTTACTTAAACTGTTATGTATAACATAAAAATGGAAAAATATAATATAATATATTAATATTTTATTTTATTTGTATTTATGAAGAATATTTTATAAGATCAATTATCTCTGATATTAAAACTAACAATATTGGTTCTAAATTAGAAAAACATGTATTCTTGTTAGATTTGGAAAAATATCCGATGATAGTGTTGTAATAGTTAAAAAGGACAAATTACTGAATAAAAAATTAAAATAATCATTTAAGGAAAATATGAAATCATAATCTTATTATTGAAATTCATAAAAAAAAGATTGAATATTTACTAGTACTTACCGACAACTGTGTAGGTCGTACAAAATTATAAAGGGTAATGTATATATTGAATAATGACTAATTTGTGACGATAAATACGAAAAATTACAAAAAATAGACCCTGCACTGAGAATAAGTTCTTGCCGATTTTATTTAAAAAAAATTTAAATAGTTTGTGTAGTGTAGTACTGTAGTACATATTTTACCAATTTACATTTTAAAAAAATCATCTTGTATACCTGTAAATAAATCTAAGTGTTGGTATGGTAAGTTGTAAGACATATTTTCAATTGATTTCAAGATTGGATTTTGTTTATGGTTTAACTAAAAAATGATATGTTATTTAGCATTTAGGCAATAGTGAATAGATGGTAGAACAATTTTAAATGAATAATATTTTCAGATTTGTAATCAGTGAATACTAAATTACAATAATTATTAATTAATAAATACTAATATACCTACATAATGCAAGTATAGCAGTAACGAAAAGGAAAAACGAAAACATTTCAAATTTGAATTCCCGCCGCCGCGAATGTTGTAATGCATGAGTAACCGTAACAGCGGTCGTGTTTGCACTTTGTGTTTGAGCCATCGTCGTCTGCGTCTCCGCCCACAAACGAACAATCATCCGCCGGTAACAAAGAGTTTGCCGCCATTATTCCGGCCTAGTGTTCACCGTTTACTTTTTATACCATGACGTCGCATATTACATTTATATGGTAACGGTGGGGCAACCATAAAAAATTGAACTACACTGTTTACTGTTTATTCACCCACGCTTCTTCTTTAGTCGCCGGTCGGCTGTCGGCTAACCTCAAACTTGTTGTTTACAACAACAATTTCGTTTTCAAGTCGTTCATACTAAATACTTCATTCGCTTGTGGCCAACTGGTGCGGTATGGCTGCTTCTTCGTGCATTTGTTCTGCTCGTCGGTTGGAGTTCAGATTTGTTCTTTGTCGCCCGCCGTCGGGTGTTCGCCTTCTATTCGTGCCTCGTGGTAGACCGTAAGTGTAGTTAGTTGTAGTTTTTTTGCTCAGAATTCAATTCTCTTTTCATTCCCAATACAAAATACAAATAATTTTTTCCGTCGCTGTTTCGCTCGTGTGTTTCAGCATAAATAGTGTAGTCAATACTAAACTTACATATCCAGTGGCCGCCGACCGCCATTTTTAAACACTGCGCACCGTTGTCCGACCCACTGTATTCGTACATTTTATGCGTTTTCCTCGCGACCGAAGGATAAAGATATTTTATTGACGTTAACTTCGAATAAGTATCATCGAATACTATGCGCTTTACGCTAATATGCGCTAGCCTTATGGTTTCCGTGCGTTCGCGTCCGTCGTTTGACCCGCTGCTTATTGTCGACGCAATACGCATCGAACCGCGCCAATTCCGTCGCGTCCTCTCTCGTTCGGCGTCGACGACGATGAAGCTAATCCAATAGCCGTAATATTACCGTAATATTTTTGTTTTTTTCTTTCAACGTTCCCGTTTTGTTTTCGTCCGGCGAATCGACGCCCCAACGGCAGCCTACCCTATGGTATTTGGTAATTATTGTAGTGTACATGCTTTGATAAAATATGTTAAATTGTTTAAACCCATTTTAATATATTTTCCACGATTGGTTTAGGGTGGTCAATTGACGATTCGGCTACAGCAATTGTCGCCGGTGCACGTGGTTTGTCGTTCATCATGCGCATCAAGTGAATGGTGATCTCTCGTGAATGGTGCTATCCACGATGGTGAAAACGGTTGGTGGCTCGGTCACAATTTAAGGTAACTCATCGAGTTGATATTATTAAGTTATTTATGTACTGGTCAATGGCAAACAATTAATTATAATATCCTAATGCATTGTTTACGACATTTCAATGAATGTCATGTATGCTTTATAAACAAACAGTCAATTTTTGTTCAGTCAAATTTTGAAATATCAATAATATTATATAGCCATTTCAATTAACTATAAAACGGCTTTAGTACAGGCCAAATGATACAATGAAAAAAAATTCTTATTACAAAATAATTTTTTAATTTAAATGTTATTGAGTTAGTATGTTATCCAGTCAGGCCTGACTGGCCTGAATTGTAGTTTCACCTATGGTTGTCTTCGCTCTGAATCTTTTTTATTGTATACAATAATTTATCGTTGAATCCAAATTTAGCATTATCTGTGGGGACATAGGTAACACAATTTTTACAAATTTTTCTATACGTAATGACAAGTATTTAGGTTAATTAAAATTTTTACCTATGGCTATTGTATCCTTGAACCCATTTTCACTGTTCTACTGTAAGGTGGTATTGACTCAAAAGTTATTAAAAATAATCGTATAATATGATATACAGTATTATATTTTATAATAATTAAATATTAATCATTGTCCTCACTTCCCCATGACCACCTTTTTATAATTTTGCGAAATAATTGGGTTAATTTTTTTGGGGACTTCGTTTGTGGCGTTATTTTTTTGCGGTACCATGTCATCCTACTATACTTCTATACTCTATTCTATGAGAAAAACGGGCTGCTCACTGACAAAAAACAGGTCGCCGTCCCATGCCTATATTCTATTCCACGAGAGAATAAATCACTTTTCGTGCATTACAAATGATTTGATCGGTGCGTCAAGAACCACATGATAACGTTAACACAGGGAAGTTGGTAGGGGATGCGCAGCCCTGACAAGAATCTGTTCGCGGACTGATAATTCTCTCGTGGAATAGATTATAGTCATGTGGAAAGAAAAATACCATACGAATATACTCTGACATTACCGTTTCTCGTGGGACAGAGTTTAGTGGTTTAGCGGAAAAAGATTTAGAACAGTAAACTTCTTACAATCACTGATAATTGGAATATTGATTGACTACTCTATTCTAAATAAGACCATGACCTTGCGGTGACTTCAGTTTTCGTCGGGCGATGTTCTGACTCCATCCATGAGCATCAAACACGACCGTTGGCCGAGGCTCCAGTGAGGTTGATTTGCTTATGTGTGTGATGCGTAACTCACTTGTATATGTGTCTCATGTTGCGCGCAATGCATTTAAAATTATTTGAACACATCGGCAGTTGATACTAGACTAATTAGTACTTCCGTCGACGGTGTCGCATCTGGCGCAACCATAGAACAAAAGCCATGCCCATGGGCACAACTTGCCGCCTGGTTACAGTCTTATTTTGAATAGAGTATAGGTATAACGTCCTGGATTAAACTAATGTGACATGGAAACTACAATTTTCCTCAATTCAGTAGTTGGGTCCTCAACCAACTGTATGCGATATAATAAACCCTAGACGCTACAAAATGGTTAATATTTTGAATCTCTGAACATTTTTCAAACACTGGAAATTGTGATCATTTTTGGAACTGTTTTGACAATACTTTTTTTTTTATTTTAATGTACATAGTTAAGGACGCTGAAAACAATGTTGAAGTCAGACTTAGTTTGAAAGTTATAGTTGATTGAAATTTATAGTATTTTCACTTATACCAGGTAAACATTTTTTTTGAACACAAGATGAGTTCTTCACGGTCAACCAGTTAGGAACCACTTTCTTCAACCATAATATTTCATATTATTCTATTTAAGGCATGAATTTCATAATATAGAATCTGAACCCAAGTCCAAGTTACAAACTGGGTACATTGTAAAATAGACCTAAATAATTTTTACGTGGAGTGCTTTCATTAGGAATAGATTTGTAGTTTTCCAAAAAATTACGAAATATTGGATTTTTTAGGTTTGTCCAAGGTATATTAGACTCAAACACAGTTCCTTATTAAAACCGTTATTATCTCTAGGCTTAACCTCTCTCAAAAACTGTTGTTCATTAGTATTTATTTTACGAGTTAAAACCTCTTTTCTCTTTGTGAAAAGTGGTCAAAACCTGCGATTTTTTGTTGCAAGTTAACTTCTTGTCGCACTCTTGACAAAAAACTACATCTCCTTCAGCCGTAAATACGGTATTGTTTGTTTTTTTTTTTAAATTTTATAGTCCAATAAATTTCTGACAATACAAAACAAATTATTAGACTCTATCTTTGAGACAATACAAAACAAATTATTAGACTCAACCTATCTCTGAGACAATACAAAACCTAAATAACAACATTAACTTTTACAATATAATAATATAACCCTTACAGACCAAAGTAATTTTTTTAATTTTTTTTTAATTTAACTCAAATAAAATGTCTACATATACCTTAAGTATTTCAAAAAATATATTGAAAATAAAAATCACCCCAGGAGAGGTCAAAACTACCCCTTCACAATCGTGAGGGTTCGGTCTAAACTACTAAAAAAATATACACAGGTTTATCAATACAAAATAGGTATGAAAAAAACTTTATTTAATTTGAAACAATACGTTTAATTTTAATTTCATCTAAGGTATTAACTTTATTTAAAAAAAAAAAAACATTAAACCTTATAGTTATTTTTGAATTTTTAAATATAATAAATAATATTTATTTCAGCTGATGATAATATTCAAAACACATTTTACCTTTGGACATAAACAAAAAAAATGTTTTACATTTTGTACACATAACTTTTGATCTACTTGTACAACCTTTGTATCTACAACTTAGAGGAGCTTTATGGTCCATTGCTCGAGGGCCAATGATGGTATCCATCGAGTCTTACATCGTCACCTGGTGCGGGTGGTTTTATTTTTATTGGTGGTTCTCCATCTTCTTCGGTGTCTTTACATGTAGGTGGTGGCGGTGTTGCCATAGTTAAGCAATCACCAATTTCCAATCTGAACTGTAGCAAATCTTTAATTTTTTTTTTCGGTACTTTATTAATTTTACAATCTTCTAAATATTCAAACCAACTGTTTGTTACTGATAGGTCAAGTAAGTGAAGTATAACTTTAAGTGGCCATTTTCTTGTTTTTAACCAAGTTCTGTAATATTCCATCATTTGATCAAAATGATCAACACCACCCATTTTTTCATTGTATTTTGATATCATATTAGGAATTTGTACGTCAATATATTTTTTTTGTGTTTTATCCCATCTGGACACTGTTGTTGTCGGTAAACCTCCGTAACACGTTGATGTTGTAACTACTGACTTGTTGTCTTTCCATTTCAACATAGAAATATTTTTATCAGCAGATACAACTTCTTCGAAATCCCCTCTTCATTTTAGAATCTGCTTTAAATTGGAATTTCTGTAGATGATTCATTTGTATAGTACCGGTTCTATGAATTTTTATCTGTACTAATTTTTTCATCAACGGAATAGTCGTAAAATACAGTAGAACCTTCTGGTATTGTATTAATAAGACGAAAATTACAGCCGTTCCAAGTCCTAACCTTTTATCAGGAAAAGGCGTGGTTAGTCCTTTGTAAATTTCAAAATCAATAATTAGACCATCAGACGTAGTAATTACAAATATTTTGAGACCAACTGGTCTAGGTTTACCCTTCACAAACTGTCTTATCTGACAACGTCCAAGAAAAGGTATCATTTGTTCATCAATTGAATAAGTTGATGATCGCTCAATAGATAAGCACCTGTTCCTTACAAAATCTATGAGTGGTTGAACTTTCCATAGTTTGTTATTTTTTTTCACTTCATCACTAACCAAATTTGCAAAATGTAGATTGACTTTTAATTGAAAAAAGCGATCTCGTGATATTATCGATGCAACAGGATCGTATCGAAACTAAGCACTCCAATACATTCGGAGACGAAGAAATTTAATACAACCCATAATAACGTGAATCCCAAAAAATTGTTTAATTTCAATAGAAGTTGTCTTTAATATTTTACCTGTATTTTCCATGTAATATTTATTAGTGCACAACGCCGCTAGTTCATATCGTCGGCTAATAGGCCAATTGTTGTAACCCTCAATTATGAAATAGTTCAGGAGGCACTAAAATATAATTTTTGTTATGATGCTGTTAACTTAAAAGCTTAATTTTTGTTTTTTCAGATTCTAAAATAATATATTTATGAAGGAATGTCATACTCACCAAACTAAAAATAATATGATATATTGTTATGTTACTCCAAAGTGAAGTACCTAGTTGGTTACACTACTTGGCCTATAATAATATGAATCATTGTGGCTTGATAATTTTAGACATTGATGGATGGTATAATTGACTTAAAATAATTAAATAGTGCCAATTACTGTAACCCTCAATAAAATATATAAAAAATATTATAAAGTATAATTGTAATTGAAGACAACAAGTCATATTTAATTAAACTTGTTTATTGTTTATAAATATAAGAACAATATTGTAATAAAATATATTAAAACAGCACTTATATATTATGTATAATTAATAGGAATTAAACAACAAATAAAAAATTAAAACAGTACTTATATTAATATTGTATTAAATAACAAAAAAAAAAAAAACTCCATGGTAGATTTTGATCGCATAACGTTTACGATTTTGATACCATCATCTGAGATTAGAACAACTATTTCCTTTTCCTGTATTAACAATGTCACTGATGGGAATTACTTATGTCAATTTCATTTCTGCTTTCAATTCTACTCGAGATACTACTTTCGAAATTGTAGACTAACTCGTCAATCTTGTCATTTACTAGTTTAATTGCGAAGCATTTTCCAAGATAAACATTAATCTGCGTTAGGTTAGATCAGTTCATGCATGGAATAGCCATTGTGCTTTGTTTCAAGGCACACACGTTTGGACTGATCACTCCTTCAACGAAATAGTCACTGTTTTCTACATCATACACTCTTACAAAACTTACAAACGTGACACCTCCCCTATGCAGTATTCCCTCAACTCTACCACTGTACTCGTACGGTAATTTTGGTAATATAACGAATTCACCGTAACACTTGAAAGGCTTAAAGAATCTAGGGACACCGTTATCGAACACCTCAACTATGCTACATTCCCTAATTATACAAGCACTCCCAACGTGATATTTTGCGATCTGAGAGCCTGTTATATCTGGAGAAATGTGACTTAGAGCATGCAGGTTCGCTAACTGAAGGCTACTAATACGGTGCTTCCTGTAGATGTAGTCACTACCATCACTAATTACAGTGTCAACAAGTTTAACCTTCAAATCAAGGTGGGCGGTCACACAGTTATGTCTAACACGTCCTTAATAGCTACAGACTTCTTGTCATAATGTATATGCATTACACTGATGAAACTCGCTAGTTGGCTACGTATACACGAATCCTTTAAACAGCGAAGGTGATTGCAGTACATCGACATCAAAAATGGGAAGTATTCAACCGTATTCATATATTCTATTAAATTACGGTTCATCAAATCTGCATTCTCCCCAGAGAAGTAGTTTCCCAATATCAATTTGCAGTCACTTTTAAAACTTTTCTCATTGCCTTCAATGCATTTGGATCTGAGTAAACCGTTAACGCGTGCCATCAAATCTGGGTTAATATTGAAAGGCATCTTCAATGCCTCACGGTCAATTTCAAGTTTACGCCAATAATCGGCTATTTTACTAATACTCTCCGAGTAAGGGCTCAGGTTGTGCAATGTTGTCATTCCAATCTTCTGAGACTTTCGATGAAATGGCTCGATTAGCATTTTTATGATCCATGTTTTCGACTTCCAACTCTGAAACCAATGTCCGAAGTTGTTCAATTTCAGCCTTTAAGTCAATGTTTCTACTCTGTAAGTCAATATCGTACCTTACCAAACCGTCACTCACTACAGACGTACAATCAGCCAATTGAGTAACATTTACTGGGGCTAATGGTGCTACACTGTAAAGATAGCAGTTCTGACCTGACAACCTAAGGTCAGGTAAACGTCTGTTGTCATTATTCAGTCTACCAGCTGCTGCCCAATACATCGGGTGATCGACGAGGTTAATATCCTGTCCATTTCGTGCGTCCTTGGCGAAATAGTTGAAATTCATGTTATCTGCTTAGCAAACAGAACATTTGTTTAACTTAGATGCTCGTGAGCTACTACATACACCGCTACAGTTCAAGACTTAACTGATAAAACATTTATCCTTTTTTTTTATTTTTACTTTTATTTTTCATAACATATTTATCAAATTAAAATAAATTTAATAAAGTTAACCTTAATGAAATATTTAAAACAAATTGTATGATATATAAAATTTAAAACTTCTCAAGCTTAAAAATATTTATGAGCTCAGGCATTTTCAGCCTTTGAGTTGTGTTTCCTTTAATTGATCCGACATTGGTCACTTTGTAAACATAACTAAGCCGATATGACTTTATCTGGGGGGTCTTGTTAAAATAATATAAAATATTATAAGAGTCCGTCGCCATAAAGTTAGCTTCTGAGAGGACATAAAAACTTGCTGGATCTTGAGTGTAGATAGTATCTTTGAATGGAGGATTATCTGAACACAACAAGCGAAAATTATCATATTATACTAATGTGTATCACTAACTTCCTCTAAATTAGGCTTGTAAGTCTTCCCGTAGCTTATATCGTATGCTTCTTGGATGATATATCTCAACAACTGGTAATCGAAACTCGATCATCTTGTGTTGCATATATCTCTGTATAATGTATCATGACTCTTGACGACGAGGTTATCTTACTTGATCATTGTACCATAATCTAGACGTATTACTAAGTTTTGTCCTTGCTTGAATCCTTCTAATTTTCTTATTAATTCATCATGCCTATGGTTGTCGTATGTTGGCTTCTTGGTAAAACGTTTGAATATTTTAAAGAATAATTAAAACAATATACACTACAAATGTATAAACGTAATATATTTTACGTAATAGGTATTTATTTACTCATTCAAATATTTTTTTGGTTATTTTAAATGTTTTATATTTTTTAATGAATAAATTCTTGATTCCATTCTAATTATTCAATACGCTTAAAAAATAACAGTTGATTTAAATGCTTGGATGTTAATCGATTCCGTTGTTTGTTTAATGTCAATCCTGTCTTAGAAACTAATCTTTCGCTGGGGACAGACGTCGCAAAAGGTACTAGATATTTAACGGCAACCTTGGATAGTATTGGATACACTTTGCACATATCCTTCCATATTAGTAAAGCATCATCTGGCATGACTGCTTTTCAGGTATAAATTTAATTCGGAGGGAAATCCACTATCCTCCTGTAACTGTCCTCTATGGGATTTACGACTGGTAGATTGTTGAACATATTTAGCATGATCTTGCCACAAATTGAACGTCTGGGTTCTTCTACTGCTGAAAAATAAAAAATGCATACATGTTACATCATAGATTTATTTTGTAAATGATAAATTGTGTATTCATACTTGTGTTGTCTGTATCAGATGAAGTTTCACTGGAGCTCATGGTCTTTGTTTGTTTGATCTCGGCCTTGGTTCTTCTGCTTCATCTTCTTCTTTGCCTGATAGATCATCAATAACTGAGTATGAATCCAAACCTGGAAAACTGGCATGCATAACACATTACGCCTCCTTAAATTTTGTTTCAAGATTCTTAAAATGCTTGAGATATTTTATAAAACACATCATGTAAACCTAAATCAAACTACCTATGTGTAACATTCAATTTGTTATGAATAACACCAATTGGTGTGTGGTACCTTCACATATCCTCTCAACCCAGGAAAATAGTAATTCTTCTAGGATGTACACAATTCACGTTCGCCCCACATTTATCTTCAATATTTTTATCGATGGTCAACCTAGTACCCTATCATATGTTTTATAAAATATTATTTTGTTGTTGAAAATGTATTATAAAGTTTTACCTGCTGTTAACCTTCACACTTCTAATATTGATGTGAGACTTTATCCATTTTATTTTGTTAAATTTCTTTATTACAAAATTTAATTCTTTAAGTCTTGAAAATTTCCATTTTATTTAAGAATGTTTTCAATTATTATATCAAGTAAAAACAATTTTGTGCTTCTAGATGATTATTAATTCATAAGTACGTTTACTGTATAATAGTAACATATTTAGTTAATTGAAAACAATGAATGTTTGATACAGTTTGGGTCAGAATTATGAATTAAAGTTTTTTATCTGGTTTTTTACATTAACTACAATTAAAATATATTTTTATGAAAGAAAATATTTGAATCTTTATTTTATTATTACATTATAACTTTATTATTAATTATGTATACTTATATAATAGCTATTTGTTCTTATCTACCATATTTGCATTAACATTGATATAAATTTGTTTTAAATTAAAACAAATAAAAAATAAAAAAAAGATGTTTCATACATGTTGATATTATTGTGTATAATAATTGTAAGTTGAGAATTCAACTGATATATAGTCAAGTTAGCTGTGAACTGATGAATCATTCCTTAAATGCATATGTATGAGCCCCTGGCGTGGTGTGTTGCCACCCGCAAGCTCTTAGAAGTATATTTGAATGAACATGTTAAATTACAAATAAAAATGACAAACATTAATGGTTGTGTTTGTACATGTTAGCTTATTAGCATTATGTGGTAAGAGCTTGTATGTTATTTATACACAACAGGAATATTATGTTATGTATACACACAATGGTGTTATGAAACACGGTATATTAACAGTGGACAATTTTATAATGCAATATGTTGTAAAGAATATTTAAAAAATAGTTGTTATATAGTGTCTATAGTTAGTTTTATTTTCATTCTGTACATTAAAGTAATTTACCGATCAAAAAAGTTTTATGTAGTGTTAAGCAATTATTGTTATTAATTGGTGATGTAGTGAATATGTAAAAAACCATCTATAAATATAAATTTAATGACTAGAAGAAAATTGTTTTTGAGTTACAAATTTTTATAGTATACTAGCTTTTAGTTTAAATTAAAGTGAAACAATTACCGAAATATCCCATCGTAAAATAAAGTTAGTTTTATTTTTTTTTTAAATAATTTGATTATTAGTTTGGTTTTATTTTCTCAACATTTTTTATTATCAACAAAACATAATGAATTTATACAACATATTTGTGCTAAGGTTGTACCATCTAAATCCATGAGTGTATCATTGAAGTGGTCCGTTCTCCTCAAGAATGCCAAAATGTCATGATCTATATTGTGTTGCTGAACATTTTCCCTTATATTTCTTGTTGTGTTTTCTCTTCCTGCTCTTGAACGCATATCTCTGATCTGTTTGATTTAATAAATTATTTAATTTGTTAATTTAAATGCCATACACATTTTAAGAAAACGTTTTAGTTAAAATACACTCCGGACATCATCGTATGTGGTACTTCACATATCGTCACCATAGATCTATTATACTTAACTTCATTGAGTATACTATTTGTCCACACTTAACCACAGGATACTCTAAAGGCCCAACTAGTGGTAAGTTGGTTGGTACAACAACACTAACGGTTCTATCAATAAGAATATCGTTCTTATAGGATTTATCTAGCATAAACCTTTTAGCTTGTTACTCTATAAGCTTATATTTTTTGTTCTTGAGGCATTGTTATTTCTCCTTGTTCCTCTTATATATTTCCCTCCTCCAACTCATTGATATCCATATGTTCTAAAGTTGTTGTAGTTGGTCGATATGGACTAAATATTTAATTTCTCAAAGATGACATTTTATCTTCTAAATTAGAAACAAGTTTATTAATTTCATCCACACCGACTAGCCATTGTCTTATTTCTTCATTCAGAAGCTCGTCACATAATTTACGTTGATGCTCAAAGAGATTTTTTTTTAATTAAAAAAATGAATGATTGTATTATTTATAGCATTTTTAACACCTTGGTCGGGAGGTAAAACCACCCTATACTCTGTTCAACGAGAGAACGCACGGGCCGACAACAAAAATTGGTCTGGTCTGCGCATGCCACGCCAGTCAACTATACTTGACTTTTGAGTTCTAAGGAATTGCTTTGGTTGACAATTACTGTACCTTTAAATGCATTTAAGTGTCAATCACAACTGTTTCCACATTTATGTCAGTACTGTTATTATCTTCAGTTTTAATTCTAAAATAATAACATAAGTTATTTTAAAAATATATTTACGTTTATCAATACATACTTAAAACATCGATGTTGTCGATACATCGTATTTTCTAGAAAATATGATCTAAAGGTTTTATGTTAATGTGATATTTATCTTTTTCATTAGTTAGTGAACAAGGCCAAGAAATAGACTAAGTATTAAGTATAAGTATTTAGTTTTAATTAAGTACATTATCTTTGTAGTTATATTATATTTTTTTAAAACATAACATTGCAATTGAAATAATACTGTATATTTAATACATATGATAGTAAAATATTGAAAAAAAAAAAAACATAAATTTCATAAAATATAAAAAAAAAGTTTTGAATAAATATATTTATTTATCTTGATGAATTAAGTTAGATAACTCAATAATTCATCTAAGATACTTCATCAGATTACTAATTTTGTTTATTATCTAGATAAGATAAAATATAATTAATTATTTATCTAGATAAATTATTTAGATAATTTATCTAGATAATGCTCAACACTGAATATACCTCAGTAGCTTAGTAGAAACGATTCTACCGTATCATCTGGTTCCATTTTTATATTCCACAGAGAATGGAATTTTATCTGAACCCAACAAGCGCCAATTATCATACACTAATATTTATTTAATATACTAGTAGTTATTTCGTCAATCGATTTCGTAACGCTGCCCAAACATGACCAGATGCAGATCCGATCAGATGATAAATAGGTTGTATAAAATTACATGACTGAATTCCGTTATATGTAAAACACTTGACTAGCTATTCTCTGTATCTGAAATTAATCTTGAGTACAGTGTTCCAAACAATAGTCTGGCTGTGATTGTGGGTGGGGTTTGAATGGTGGGCTCGTCTGTAGTGGCGGTTGTCGTAGGTGTACCATGTGTGATGTTCGTTGTTGTGGTGGTGATTGTCTGTTTGGTCGTTGCCCGTGTATTGGTTGTGTTTGATGTGGGAGGTTTTTGGCTGAATTGTGTTGTCCTGGTTGGCGGTGTGGCGGATTGAATGGTGTTGTCCTGTGTGGCGGTGTAGTGAATTGTATTGTATTGGACATGATGCTCTGAAACTGTTGTAATCTTATTTGTGGTATGTCCTTTTCTGCGAAACAGATTGGTTCGACGAGTGTCCCGCACTTGGCTATGGCTAGAATCCATGGCCCACAGTCGTTGTTGTACTGTGTTGTTGTGGTTCAATGTAATGTCCACCAAGCCGAAAGCTGGACACTCGAATGTTTTTCCCAATCTTTCAAGAATGTTTTGATTCTTGATAATATGTGTTGGTGGTTCCTATGCTTGCCATCATAGCAGACCACAATTTTGCTATTAAGGAATACCACAATTAGAATCCAGTGATTTCCCACGTTGATGGGAAATAGTAGCGAGTCCATGTCCAGGATGGGTTTTTTGACCCATCTTATAATTCCGTTAAGTCCTTCCTCGCAGTATATTACATGACTGAATTCCGTTATATGTAAAACACTTGACTAGCTATTCTCTGTATCTGAAATTAATCTTGAGTCCGGTGTTCCAAACAATAGTCTGGAACATGGGTTGGTGTAGCCTTACGTTTAATGGGATCATTGAATGTCCAACTACTAGAACACAAATATGGCAACCTTCTTTCCAGTTTTGGATCATACACCCCACAATTTTCATGCTGTGCTTCACCACACATTTCACAAACTAGTGAAGAGCTATTTGATACTATATTTGTACAATAACACACACATAATTGTTTAATTATATGTTTACACAATTATATTGAATTTGTAGGTGTATGAGCAAACTTTTTAATTTTGGTTTTAATGAAGAAGTAGAATTTAAAAATCATAATAATTCAAGTATGTTTTTATTGTATTAAAAAAAAATTATCTGAACACAACAACCTAAGGTCAGGTAAACGTCTGTTGTCATTATTCAGTCTACCAGCTGCTGCCCAATACATCGGGTGATCGACGAGATTAATATCCTGTCCATTTCGTGCGTCCTTGGCGAAATAGTTGAAATTCATGTTATCTGCTTAGCAAACAGAACATTTGTTTAACTTAGATGCTCGTGAGCTACTACATACACCGCTACAGTTCAAGACTTAACT